ATGATCCTAGCCGTATCTCAGTGGATATGTGCCACAACGTTACACTTTGATCAATTAATCCCTGTATCTCACAGTTCCACCATTTGAGGTCCAGAGACTTCAGTATTTTCCTCAGAACCTAGCCATATCTCTCTGGATATGTGTCAAAGGAACAATACTCAACTAAAATTTTGGCGCTCCTCTGATCCTAGCCATATCTCGATGGATATGTGTCAGTAGCCAACGCCCTTAGCCAATAATTCTCTGTGTCTCCAGTTCTCACCCCTGGTGATCCTAGCCTGGGGACTTCAGTATTTTCTCAGAACCTAGCCATATCTCTCTGGATATGTGTCAAAGAAACAATACTCAACTAAAATTTTGGCGCTCCTCTGATCCTAGCCATATCTCGATGGATATGTGTCAGTAGCCAACGCCCTTAGCCAATAATTCCCTGTGTCTCCAGTTCTCACCCCTGGTGATCCTAGCCTGGGGACTTCAGTATTTTCTCAGAACCTAGCCATATCTCTCTGGATATGTGTCAAAGAAACAATACTCAATGGTACCAAGGTTTAACATCACATTCACCACAGGTTTACATGTCACAATATTGTGCTTATCTACTCATAATAGTTTCATAATTTAGTTCACTTACATCAGACAGTTGTTTCACAAAATTAATTTGAATAAAGCCAATGTGCAGATCTTTAGTTATTTAACAATAGGTATCTGCTTACCTTCTTTAAGTAGTCCGGACTTTTTGTGAAACACACAGTCCAATGAAAGAGGTGACCAAATGGGCCGGACAATACCCAGCGAAGTCCCTTCTACCAGATCACGTCGGAAGTCACCAATTGTCAAAGTTGGTTTAGACTTACTCAGCCTATCCGTTGGCGCACCGGCTGTTCCCCGCCTCTTCTGTTACCAGGCATACGTTTATCATAACAACCTGTCATAGTGAGAAGAGCCAGCTCCCCTAGACACCATTCCTACGTCCTAGGAAGGTTCACAGATCACAAAGAACCAGTATAGTCTAGTATTTGGAGACACAAATCCTTATCTCATTTTACCCCCTAAAACAGCTCTTCACATCAATCACAGCTTGCCAGGTGACACAACTTACATTAGCCCAGTCAAGAATGCATTCTTTCTAAGTTAGTCATCCCATCAATTAGGAGAATAATAAATCTCTCACAGTACCGTGATCTTCATTCACTTCACTCACTGACGTTTCATTGTCAAATTCGCTCATTTAGCAGTTATTTCCCTCAAAGTCTTCACAGTTGAATAAATGTCCTTTCCTTTACTCACTGTGTATTCCTCCCTTTTTAATCACGTTGTTTTCCCGCTCTGACATCCATCTCGAATCCTTTTCTGCTGTCAATGACGATGCTAACTCTCTCTCTTAGCTAGCTTGACTATGCACTTGCCTTTGCTAGCAATATACTGTGCTATCATTAGCCTAGACTGCACCACGGAAAATAACAGTTTCAAACATGTACAAACCGACTTCTTCCGGACAGAATAGTTCCCGTAGGTTTAGACTTACTCGTCGCCAATCTTTTGTTATGTCTTGTGGGTATTCATAACCACATCTTTATAACAATTCAATAATGATGATGGGAGACAGGAATTCAGTTCAACCGTTTATCTGGAATGTGATCATCTCGACACACTCCACAAGTCCTATGATGCTCTGCGGCACAACCCCAAAACACAACAGTAGCCAGTTAGGATAATTAACGTGGCAGGTTAGGAGAACTAACCGCGCAGGTTATAAGGTTAAGGTTAGGAAAAGGGTTATGGTTAGGCTTAGCTAAAATGCTACAAGGAAGCAGCAAGCAGCCAGACAAAACAGTCTTGAGTGGCAACCAATCTGCCCAGTTAGATGTTAGGTTTCCATACACCCACTCATGTTGATCCTCCCACTTATTTCGCAACGCCCATTTTCAGACACACCACATATGCACTTACCCATTACTCCTTCAATGGGTAAAAACGTAGTGCAAAGGTCTTCAAAGGCAAAAACTTCATAAAAGGCAGAAGTAAAATCTGGCATTAGTAAATTCATCCACAAATACGAATATAAGTCTATGTATATCTTAAATTAGTGCGTTTTCACGAATTTGATGATATAATATAGTCCCGTGTAGCTCAGTTGGTAGAGCATGGCGCTTGCAACACCAGGGTTGTGGGTTCGATTCCCACGGGGGGCCAGTATGAAAATGTATGCACTCACTAACTGTAAATCGCTCTGGATAAGAGCGTCTGCTAAATGACTAAAATGTAAAAATAATCCTGAAGGCCATTCAAAACATTAGCGAAGACTGTCTATTATATTGACAAGATAGTCAAGTGACCGCTCTAACAATGGAAATACATGTCCTCAAAGAGGTAAGGCAGGCGGGAGGAGGCGAGCTCTGGTGTGACCATTCTAGCAAAGATTTTTATAACTAAACCAAGATGGACCACTGCCTGTCGTTTCAAACGGGAACAAAGGAGCCATAGTGGGCAGAACAAGCAAGGAGGTGGGCAGAGCTAAGCACGAGCTAGCGAGGTCCTATTGGCGTGTTCTAGCACCATTTGCATATTTCCGTTGGGGAACGCCTACGCAATAACTCAATTCGCCTTTGCACTCCTTCTAAACAACACAACTTTGGCAAAGGGTAAAGACTACAAAACTTAGTTCACTCTGTTCGTGACAGATTGTAGTTTTGGGAACAGAACTGTATTGAGATCAAATGTCTCATTAATGAGTAAATTAACAGAATGTCGGCCAAAATCTATCTTGTTCCATCTTCTCCCACTGCCTTCCCACGGGCTTCCTCTCACTACGATATTTGGTATTGAGTGGGAACGCCAACCGAATGCTTCACATTTATATATCCAGTGAAATATCTGTCTATCTGTGATTCTATTCAATGAGAGGGCACATATGCATGTGAACAACAGTCCATAGAGATGGATAAAGGGCTCATCTTTGAATCTGTGCCATTATAACGTCTGTAACTGCATGGACAACGCCTTTGAGGCTATCTCAATTTTAAACTAGTGAATGATCTTCTTATTAATTTGCTGATTGCTCCCAACTCATAGGAATCCCCACCCAGTTGACTACTTAAAAATGGTGGAAGCCCTCAATGGCAATGGCCATGCTAAAACGGCCATGATGAGTCCTCTATATATGAAAACAGTCAAAACTCTGATATAAAGTCGTTTTATTTTCTCAAAGTGTGGCCACTTATATCAGTGCATTGGTAACAACCTACCATTATGAAACTTCTATTCGATTAAATAAGCCTCACGTAGCAAATTACCAATTTCATTTTTGTTGACCAAATTCGACACTCTCATTGAACTCCATACAAATATTCCTCACTTCGTGGGTTTATTTTGGTGGAGAGATTTTGGGTGGAGTACAACCTCTCGCTTTGCCTCTTCTTCTCTGACATTAGGGGGACAAGCTAGGGAAGTAAAGCGGAAGTAAAGCGGTTTCAATCGGTTGTCACTAGTTACTACAGCCAGAAAGTCATATACCCAGCCCATTTCTACAATATTTCTTCATAAAATCTGATTTAAAACCTAACCACACTGCTAACCTTGTCTAACCATAACCTTAAATGAAGACCAAAAAGCTATTTTTTTGTTTTCATCATTTTTGACGATATAGCCAACTTTGTGGCTGTGGTAACTAGTAACAACCGTTAGTTTCACAGGGAAATTCCTACCCGTCACCACAGTTTCTAAACCATACTGGACTGTCTATGCTGTCACGGTGCGGCGCACCACGTAGAATCAAACGCTGCCTACAAACTTTTTCCAGGCTGGGAAACGATACATTAAAACGGAGAAGAAAACTCAATCGACAAAGGAGCGGGGTAAACTTAAAACTTAAGGTAAACGAGTTATCCCCTGCTATTTTGGTGTTATTAGGCCGCACTATTTCAGCTAACCGCAAAGCCGTTAACCACATAGTATATATATTTTTGTAGCTAACGTTAGTTACTGGTAGCTAGTAAACCAAATATTTATTATGGTCTTTACAACAAATCAGCTGTGCTGGGCAGATAGTACCACAGATATGGTTAGTTCTAAAAAAAAATTGCACTAACGTTAGCTACTGAGGCAGGCGTTAGCAAGCTAGCTAGGTAATGTAGCTACTTTAGCTATTTGAGGCAGGGTTGCTTTGTTAAAACGGCCCCTTCTGATGAGGCAGTCTATAGGGTAAACTTGTTGGAGTTAATCAGTGACATTGGCAGCCACACCTTTTTCATAGTAAATAGGACGATAACGTTCGCTAGTGTTTAAAAAGTGGAGTTGACTAACCTTAACCTCCCAGCTGATACAATCAGATGTTTGAAGAGGGCGTTGATAAGCAAAAATGAATAAAATGTAAATGTAATGAAGTTAAAAGTTAGCTTCTAAACTAGATAGCGTTTGCTAGCTAACGTTCGCTATTAACTTTACAGCAGCAGCCAGCGTTTGCCGACTGTCGTTAGAATTTGCAACTGCTGGATAATAGCTTAGCTAACTGTTACTCAATCTCTTATGCAAATTATTCAAACGATGTTCGCAACTAACGTTATTTCGGTAACTAGCTAGTTAAATACTTTGCTAGCTACATATGTGTTGATAGGTACCTTTTCTTCTCGAAAAATTAATATTCAAATCTCTCATAATGAAAATGAAACTAACGTTTCTGGAAATGTATAGCAAACTAGCTAGCTATATTTGTCCATTCACCAATAGCTTTATTATGTATATCCTTCCAAACAAGGGTAAATGTATCTCTCAACAGCCAAGCCTTCATTCATTGGCTGATTTGCCAATCCAGTACATTCTAATTATACCTCAGTGATCCAGTATCTCACTTTGATTTGCATAGAGGTGCACAACTAACAAGATACAGCCTGGCTACAAGTTGTCCAACAGCATTATTTTTATTTAATCTTATGTTCAAAGTATCACCACCCCAGGTATATTGATATTAGTCATTCATTCTTAATTTTTTCCATACAGCAATCATGTTAGGCGAACGCCGCAATGGGAACCTGCTTGTTCAGCTGGGCCCGAAGCTGCAGGCCTACCCAGAGGAGTTGATCCGGCAGCGGCGGACTCATGATGGCCAGACTGAGTACCTGATCCGCTGGTGCCTGCTGGCTATAGATGACGGTAGTGGCTCAGATGGAGAGAGCAATGAGGCAGGAGGAGGAGGGGGCAGCAGTTCAGGGGTGGGCGGCTCAACCTCAGGCGAGAGCAAGACAGAGAACATCCTGATGTGGATGTCAACGGAGGATGTCTACGCCAACTGCCCCACGCTGCTGGGCAAGCGCAAGGCAGACGCCCAGCGGACCCTCCAGGAGGCGGAGGAGAGGCCCAGCGGAGATTTCCCCGCTGATGTCACCTTTGACGAGGTGGAGCTCTCTGACATGAAGGACGATGTCAAGAACTTGGTCAGGAGGGCCCGCAAGCAGATGACCAAGAAGAGCAACTTTGCCATCAGCATCACACACACCATCCATGTGCTGAGTGCCTACGCCAGCATCGGCTCACTGGTGGGCGTCTTTAAGGAGACAGGTGCCCTGGACCTGCTCATGGAGCTGCTCTGCAACAAGGAGCGACAAACCCGCCGAAGTGCTGGGAAGATGCTCCGGGCTCTGGCCTCTCATGACGCAGGTATGGTGGGGCTTTGATAGTTTCATTCTTAGACTGTCCCAGTGTCAGCCATATAGGAAACGACAGAGTAGAGAGACTGAGGCTGTGGTAATACATTCCGTACATATCGCCTTCATTTCTATATAGACCTCTGAACTGACCAGACAGAAAAGACAGACTTACTGGGAGGCGGCTAGGCAGGGTTTCTGCCCTCTTGCTTTCACCTAGACTGGCCTTTACCAGTAGTACGTTTTCTTTATCAGTTATGAGCTGTGAAAAGTAAGGGAAAATGTATTGTGTAGGCTACTTAATACGTGAGGACATGACCACTGTCTGTTTTACATCTGCACACAGTTCCTGCAGTCTGTTTATGAATTAGACTATGGTCCCTAATGTAATGATTTGGTGTGTTTTCGATTACGCAGTTTGTTGAGTGTGGTTTAATGGATTATTGTGCATGTGCTGCAATGTAAAACACGGACCCCTATTAGGTAATTAGGTCACTAGGTATGTGTGATATTCTTCTGTAAACGTCATTGACCTGAATAATGGTATTTCTGCATGACTCATAGCTTTATTTGCCAAAAAAGGGCTTGAATTCTGGATTTAGCCACTGTTTAATCTTTCCTTTGGCTCATAGCTTTAATTTGCGTAGCATTTTCTGTTGTCATTGACTGACAATACTTCCCATTTTAATTTTGAAAGTGAGAGTCTGTGGGCAAAGGTAAGCCTAACTAGCAGGTTGGCATTTATTGTCATGAATCTTGCCCTGGAGGCAGCTCTGCAAAGTCATAAAATCTGATTTTAAACCTAAACGTAACCCTATTGCCTAACCTTAATTTAAGACCAAAAAGCTCATTTCTGTGACAAAACTATCGGTGGAGTTGAAAATGCGATGGAAACACTTAACTTTTTATTCGGTACATGAAAACTTAAGCGAAAAAGTACATTTTGTGTGCACTACGTCATCATGCACTCACTGATTTTTCAACAACAACAAAAATCTGCAACAAGTCCATTTGGAAACACCGCTGGTGGGAAAATCTGCAGGTTTTAAAATATTTGTATGAAAATCTGTAAACAATTGGATGGAAACCTAGCTAGTGATAAATATTAGCGGAATTGGTAATGCCTTGTACCAGGTCCCACAAAGCACTCCTTTCAAATGTATAATTTTTTTTGCCTTCCAACTGACCCTTTTTTAGCATAGGCCCACCCACTTGGGAGCCAGGCCCAGCCAATCAGAATTCGTTTTTTTACATACAGAAATACTCCTCAGTTTCATTAGCTGTCTGGGTGGCTGGTCTCAGACGATCCCGCAGGTGAAGAAGCCGGATGTGGAGGTCCTGGGCTGGCGTGGACATTCCTGCAGTCAGCATGTCAATTGCATGCTCCCTCAACTTGAGACATCTGTGGCATTGTGTTGTGTGACAAAACTGCACATTTTAGAGTGGCCTTTTATTGTCCCTAGCACAAGGTGCACCTGTGTAATGATCATGCTGTTTAATCAGCATCTTGATATGCCACACCTGTCAGGTGGATGGATTATATTGGCAAAGGAGACATTCTCACTAACAGGGATGTAAACAAATGTGTGCCCAAAATTTGAGAGAAATACGATCTTTGTGCAAATGGAAAATTTCTGGGATCTTTAATTTCAGCTGATGAAACATCGGACAAACACTTTTAAATGTTGCATTTATATTTTTGTTCAGTGCCTTCAGAAAGTATTCAGACCCCTTGACCTTTTCCACATTTTGTTACGTTACAGCCTTATTCTAAAATTGATTAAATTATTCCCCCCCCCCTCATCAATCTACACACAATACCCCATAATGACAAAGAAAAAATAGGTTTTTAGAAATTTTTGCAAATTAAAAAAAAAAAAAAAAAAATTACATTTACATAAGTATTCAGACCCTTTACTAAGTACTTTGTTGAAGCACCTTTGGCAGCGATTACAGCATTGAGTCTTCTTGGGTATGACGCTACAAGCTTGGCACACCTGTATTTGGGGAGTTTCTTAAATTCTTCTCTGAAGATGTTCTCAAGCTCTGTCAGGTTGGATGGGGAGCGTTGCTGCACAGCTTTTTTCAGGTCTCTCCAGAGATGTTCGATCGGGTTTAAGTCCGGGTTCTAGCTGGGCCACTCAAGGACATTCGGAGACTTGTCCCGAAGCCACTCCTACATTGTCTTGGCTGTATGCTTAGGGTCATTGTCCTGTTGGAAGGTGAACCTTCGTTCACCTTCGCCCCCAGTCTGTGGTCCTGAGTGCTCTGGAGAAGGTTATCAAGGATCTCTCGGTACTTTGCTCCGTTCATCTTTGCCTCGATCATGACTAGTCTCCCAGTCCCTGCCGCTGAAAAACATCCCCACAGCATAATGCTGCCACCACCATGCTTCACCGTAGGGATGGTGCCAGGTTTCCTCCAGGCGTGACACTTGGCATTCAGGCCAAAGAGTTCAATCTTGGTTTCATCAGACCAGAGAATCTTGTTTCTCATTTTCTGAGAGTCTTTAGGTGCCTTTTGGCAAACTCGAAGCCGGCTGTCAGGCCTTTTACTGAGGAGTGGCTTCCGTCTGGACGCTACCATAAAGGCATGATTGGTGGAGTGCTGCAGAGATGGTTGTCCTTCTGGAAGATTCTCCCATCTCCACAGAGGAACTCTGGAGCTCTGTTAGAGTGACCATCAGGTTCTTGGTCACCTCCCTGACCAAGGTCCTTCTCCCCCGATCGCTCAGTTTGGCTGGACGGCCAGCTCTGGGAAGAGTCTTGGTGGTTCCAAACTTCATTCATTTTAGAATGATGGAGGCCACTGTGTTCTTGGGGACCTTCAATGCTGCATAATTTTTTGGTACCCTTCCCCAGATCTGTGCCTCGACACAATCCTGTCTCGGAGCTCTATGGACAATTCCTTCCACCTCATGGCTTTGTTTTTGCTCTGACATGCACTGTCAACTGTGGGATCTTAAATAGACAGGTGTGTGCCTTTCCAAATCATGTCCAAAAGTTGTAGAAACATCAAGGATGATCAATGGAAACAGGATGCACCTGAGCTCAATTTCGAGTCTCATAGCAAAGGGTCTGAATACTTTCAGTGTTATTTCGACCTCGTAGGGTTATTTTGACTTAAAAAAAACAGGAAATAACATTTTTAACTGCACTGCCACTTTTAAGGTTTCTTAGCAACTTTCTGCTGGAGAGGAAATGGAGAACATTTTCATGTTTAAGGGAAATATTTGTCTTTACGTGCTTTATGAAAACCGTTGACCATTCATTGAATTTCGTTGTTTTATTATTATGGTAGGCTACTTGTTCTTTATTAACCCACTCACAATTCATTTAAAAATGAAGATCTGAATGTGTCTGCTCTGCTGTCTTGTATAGAATAATAATACAAATATAGTGTTGTATTGCCTCTTGGTTTCTGTACTTTTTGAATTCCCTCTCCTTGGGCCATGAGGCTCACAATCCTTGTGGAATTTTATTCGATGCAACTCCCCTATCAGGAAGGGCTGAGACCTTTGCCATGGCGCTAAGGGCAGCTCTGCATTCCTGTCAGTGTCTGTCACTGACTGATGTTTGTTTTCATAGCTAAGCCCTGTTGAAACGCTTGAGTGCACAGGACATCTCTTGAACCCTGGCTGTGTTTACAAGTTTTCCGTATTCTGAGAGGTGAATGGGAGATGATGTGGTTGTAAAGGCCTTCGCTTTGTCACTAAGGTTGCGTTTTCACTAATTGGTCTTTTGACCAATCAGATCGGCTCTGAAAAAGATATAATATGAAAAGATCTGATGTGATTGGTTAAAAGACCAATTAGTGGGAAAAAAGAATTGGGCTGCCTGTAAATGTAGTCAGACACTTCTGCACTTAAAAACACATTTGTACATGTTCACATGGGCTCCTTGGTGCAAGTGCAAATACAAAGCACATCATTTAAAGTACTATTACCATGCCATGATTTTAGAAACTGAAATGTATTGTTAATCAGGTAGCTGATTTAAGCTCTGGTATATCTCAACTCTCCTGGGACAGTGGTAACCACCTCATTAGATACTAGATGACAAATGGACAAATTTGCTTAACGTTTAAACTGCCATTAAAAAAAAATTGGTTTTCTGTTAAAACTATAAAAAATTGTACAATTCCTCGTCAATTCATAATGCAGAATAATGGTCCTGTTACGTATGTATGACTGCTAGGGCCGGGCAATGAAGTTCTATCTACCGTAGTCATATACTCTTGAAAGTGCCTTTGGTACGGCATGTTTTTTTGTCTGTAGGGGGAACTACGGCTTTTTAAATGCCGACACGAAACCTCTGGAGATTAGTTTAGAAGAACCACTTGAACGGGCATTTTACTTGTTTGTAAGTCGCAACTGAACGGGCATTTTGTAAAGGAATGCTGCTTCTGAAGAGGGACCAACGTCCATCACTAGGCGACCAGAACTGTCAATCAAATAATATTGTGCGGCCTAATCGCAGCCTTCCTGCCTGTGCGCAGACCACTCTACTTTAAAGGTCGTTAAATAATATTTAGTTGAAAGAAAACACATCTTCTGCTAGGAATTGACTCCTAAGATTCAGTATTTTTTAAATGGAGGAGACTGATTTTAGTTCTGTACTTCTGAGAATACAAACACTAGTATCTTTCATAGTGAGTTGGCGAAGGACTGAGAGAGAGGGGAGGGGCACAGTATAGGCAGGTCGGCCACCAGGCAGACATTCAGAACCCTGCACTAGGCCTATCTATCGGCAATCAAAAGCTGTATCTAACAATGGAATGCTGTATTTTGCAATTTCTTGGCTTGCAATGTCTCGCAACTTCAGTAAAGCAGGGCCTATCATCAATGAATAGGCTAGGATATTCTACATGCAACAGACCAACGACTGAACACTCTCGCATCATTAGCTAGCCAGCTGCACTGTGATTATAAGTTGTGGGGGGGAAAAAAACTACATTTTTGTAAAGATCCCAATTTCGTTTAAACATTCACACCCCTAATACTAGGTGTCATAACAGACCAACCAGTGAAAGCTCAGAGAGGGGGAGAGAGCAAGAGATTGTTATTATTTTATGTGGACACACACAATGGTGCTCCTGTCTTCCCCCAGGGAGCCGTGCCTACGTGCTCCTGTCCCTCAGCCAGCAGGATGGTATTGAGCAGCACATGGACTTTGACAATCGCTACACCCTACTGGAGCTGTTTGCAGAGACCACCTCCTCTGAGGAGCATGGCATCTCTTTCGAGGGAATCCACCTCCCTCAGGTAGCTACCAAATCACATTCTATGTCTCTGGACAGTACTTTTACTAACCAATGGGTTCCTACATGCACCCCTAGATCAGGGCTCTCCAACCCTGTTCCTGGAGAGCTAACGTCCTGTAGGTTTTCAATCCAACCCTAATCTAGCGCACCTGATTTTAATAATTAGCTGGTTGATAAGCTGAATCAGGTTAGTTACAACTGGGGTGGGAGCGAAAACCTACAGGAGGGTAGCTCTCCAGGAACTGGGTTGGAGAACCCTGTCCTAGATCAAACCAGTGAATTACCTATCACTAAGATGTAATGTGACGTTTCCCCTGTGTGCTCCAGATCCCAGGGAAGCTGCTGTTCTCCCTGGTGAAGCGCTACCTGTGTGTGACGTCCCTGATGGACAAGCTCAACACGGCAGGGGTGGAGTCAAGCTCTGAGCGGCAAGACGCAGCAGGCTCCTCCGCAGGGGCAGGCCACCAGACAGAGAACCTGCGTGTCCAGCGAGAGTTTGAGTTCACCATGGCTATGGCTAACCTCATCTCTGAGCTGGTGCGGGTCATGGGCTGGGACCACAACCGGCAGCCGCCACAGTCCAGCAGCCTGGCCCAGGGCAGGGCCTGCGGGGAGAACGAGCCGCCCCGCCGCATGGTGCGCTCCATCTTCCAGCCCCGCTTCTCTGCCTCTGCCTTTCCTGTCGCTACCTCCTCTAGCATGGCAACCGCCACACCACCCAAGAAGAAGACCTGCAACGGCTTCAAGACACGCACAGACTTTGCCAGCCGCTCTGCTTACGTGGAATACGTGCAGGACAACCTGAAGAGCGGCATGCTGGTCCGTATGCTAGAAGACTATGAGGAGGTCAGCGCTGGTGATGAGGGGGACTTCCGCTACAGTAATGACGGCTCGCCACCAGTGCAGGTACAAAACATCACACCTTGTATTAGCACACAGCTGGCTCCTGAGATCTGAGTTAGGGTTGTGTGACGACAGATTTAGTAAAAACTAAATGCTTATTTTTGTGCGCACAGGTGTACTGGAACTCCCTATCTCGGACCTACTGGGTGCACTGGCACATGGTTGAGATCATGGCCACTGGCACCAGTGGACAGGGTGAGAAAGACGCCCAGGAGAAGGCCTCCTCCCTGACTGAGACGATCAAGCTCACGGCTGGTAAGAGGGGGTCACCTGCACCCACAGACTCGCACTCATGTAAGTGATTTTCAACAGTAACGTGGCTCCGAAGCATCAAAGCCCATGAACTTTGAGCGCTAATGGACTTGCAGGTTATTCTGTAAACTCAACAAATTGCCCTAATATATTGTTTTATTAGAAACTGTCGTCTAATATCGTTGGTGTTGTCCTCCCTTGTATTCAGTGAGTCAGACGTTCTTCTCCAAGCCTCCTGGTGGGCTGTACTCGTTGCCTTACCTGGCTGAGGGGCTGCATGCTGATGGAGCCACCCTGAGCCGGGCCGAGTGGTGGGAAGTGCTCTTCTTTATCAAGAAGCTGGAACCAAAGCAACAGCAGGAGATCAACAACATCCTGCGTCAGAGCCTCGATGAACAGGCAAGTGCCCATCACTCAATCCTCCTCTCTGGCTTCAATTCCCTCACTCTCTAATCTAATCACTCTTCTTGCTCTTTTCATGACTCAGCCCCAATGGAAGTTGACCGTATAGTTCATGTTTTTGACTTGCTTCTCTCTGCTCTGTCAGATGTCAGACTCAGACGAGGCCACTCTTATCTGGCTGTCGGTGCCAGGCGAGGTGGCCCGGAAGCTGCTTCACTACCTGAAGCAGACCCTGCAGAACTCGTGTCTGTGGGACCTGCTCTGCTCCCATGCCTTCTCTAAACACTACCTGCGGCGCGGTGGGGGAGGCCTGGAGGATGACGAGCTGCTGCCTGAAGGCTCCCTGGGCTTCCTCTGGCCTGGGAGGAGGACAGACCACCTCTTCATCTGCTGCCACCGCCTCCTCTGTCATGTGCTCATTTTCTAAGAAGCCGAAGAAGGAGAGTCCTACAGACTATTGCTCTGACACAGAGTCTGAGTTGCCAATGGAAGATGAGTCTAATTACTCAGAAGACCTGGAGGAGAAGATGAAAGGTGTGGCAGTCAGTGTGTTTGAGCTTTGTTTGTTTTTGCAGTTGGCAAACTACCTCTAGCTGTAGCCAACACCTTTTTCCAGAGAAAGACCAGCAAAACCATTTTCTTATTAGTGAAAGTTGTAGCAAAATGTTTTTCGATGGGAAAATGAAAACAAGCGTTTCTTATTTGACAAATTCAGGTAGAGCCCTCCTAATTTCAGTCCATTTGCTTCCGTTTGGTTCCTAGTGAATACATCCCAGGATACAGGATGATGACGTAGCATGATTTACATAATGACAGCCAATTTTGCTCTAACATGCTTTGCCTTGTGTTTTCCCCACCAGTGTTCAACAACTCCAAGGTGCAGGGCAAGAAGACGGCCCTGGAGAAGCTTGGGGAGGTGGTGGACATCATGAAGAAGAGTGGCTCAGATCCAGTCCAGCAGCTGGCTGGGATCAAGTTTATCATCAAGGTCCTAGAGGACGAGGGGCCTCAGGAAAGGAGCACCCTCAGGACGGACGCTGTCCAGACCATCCGGTAAGGCTGCTGCCTGCACACTTCCTCTCTTATAGGGTCACATTTCACCTCAAACATTTGTGTCTTCCAATATGATCTTTGACTTTTCTCTTTCCACCACCCCCAGGGATAAAGTCCTGAAGCTTGTGGTCGAGATGCTGAGTGGGCAGCCCAAGGAGAATGTGGTCAGCGCCCTGCGTCTCACCCGCGCCCTCATGGTCAAGTACGAGTGGAGGGTCTCCTTCGCCACGGAAGGGGGCGTCAAAGCCATCCTCTCTTGTATGCAGGAATACCGCACTGTCCCACAGGTCCAGCAAATCGCCCTGGCGGTGAGTTCTCAATCACTTTGTTTTGAGTTGTTGTTTTTACTACCGTCTGTTATGTAATCTAGCTAGTTTTCTTATACAGTTTTAGGGGACGACAAGTAATGAGAACTATACAGCTGTAAAGGAGTAGTTTTCTATCATGTTTCTATCCACACTTGGATAGAAACATGATTGGTTTCTCCCCTCTGCTCTAGACTCTGATGGTCATCACAGGCGCCAGTAAGTATGACCTGGGCAGCATGAGCAGCTGCTATCTTCCTCTCTCCGAGTCTGTCACACCCATGATGCTTGGAGTCTTTGCCAGTATTGGCTCTGTCACTCCCGAGGGCTCCAAGGGACTGCTGGCTGCCATCCCCGCTGCCATTGAACTGATGCTTAACACACCTGGGTATGTCTTTTGCACCCCAACTGGCTCTAAGGGAATGTTAACATGCCCAACTCCACTGTTTCCTATGATGAGACTGCTATGTTACAGTAGAGGCTAAGGGATATCTGCTCGGTCTCTCCTACCAGGTGTATGTTGTCGGTGAGGAATGGTCTGTTGGTGATCATCATGCTGATCTCTAGTAGTAAGAGCCTGGCGGAGCAGCTGGTGGCCTGTGACGTCAGCACCGTGCTTAAGAAGTGCCTTGCGGCCTCTCGGCCAGAGAAATGGCTGGCCATCATCGCCCTCAACCACATCTCCGTGGACCACAAGTTGGAGAAAAAAGGTGCGAATTCACTGCTCGTCTGAACACACTCCTCAAACAGTGCCGAGGTCAGGTTATGTGTAGGCGTTCCTAGCTGGCTAGTTGCACATTAGCTTTTTCTGCCACGCCTCTTGCATTACTATGAAAGTTCCTAAAAAACAATAAATAATAAACAAAATATGACATCCTGTTCTTGTGGCCTTATGTCCCAATGTGGACAACAGGGTTTTTTCTGGATCAAAATTGGGTTTAGGTGTTGGTTGTGGTGGGGGCGTGTTGGCCACAGTGATTCAATTTTGCTGTTAAATCTAATTTCCTGCAATTCTACACCTTGCCATGGGGCTGAGAGAAAATGTGCAGTTTTAAAGCAATTTCCTGCAATCTTACACTTTTTGCCATGGCTTATGCTATCTGAGTGACTCAAACATTATAACCAAATCAATGGGGGCCCCATGCCATGCCAAAAATACTCCTGAATGCATAATGTTTAGAATATTTGATTCTCCCTGACTGTCTAGCTTTTATTTTGGTGATTGTTTTTTGGGGGGGATTTTTATTTAGGTGATTGTTAGTTCTTAAAGATCTTATAAAAAAATATATAGGTCCATTTATCTTTCTACATATTTTAGATCTGGTTTTAGTTTAAAATTACACTGAAAACGTTTTTCCATCCTAAATACTATTTTCAATTTTCTAAAGGTATTTATTTATTTATTTTTATTTTGAACATAAGTGGCCCAAAAAAACACTTAGGCGGGCCGCCCAATACTTTTCTATGCACTAAAAACCCTGGACAAAGAGGATTAAGTATGTTATGTCCCGAGCCGACTAGGTGAAAAATCTGTCTGTGCCCTTGAGCAAGGCACTTAACCCTAATTGCTCCTGTAAGTCGCTCTGGATAAGAGTGTCTGCTAAATGACCAATGTATTATTATTTATGTTCTGAATATGTCTCCTCAGAGTTGATGGAGGAGTTGGACTTCAAGGACGCAGAGCTAAAGATGCTGGTGGTGAGCCTGAAAGAGATGACGGCCAACAAGGAGGTGATCCTGACCCTGGAGAAGCTGCTGTGTGACGACACCTCCCAGCTAGAGGAGGAGCGTTACCAGGTGACCCGCAGCCGAGAGACCTACCAGGACCTGGTGCGCCTCATGGACCAGCACCGAGCTGATCGGGCCGCACAGCTCTCCATCCTCAGGTGAGACGGGGGGAGATGGGGGGGTGTTGTGCTGCCTAACTGCTAATGTTGCACAGTATACCGAAACCTCAATACTTTTTCCATACTATAACATGAAAAACGGTTCGGTACTAGAATGTGTGTTACTTTCAGTACTTCTGTCAAATGTGTCTCACGTCATATACGGATTGAGAGGATAGAGTCTGTCTAGTAATTTGTCTGAATCTTCTCAAGGGAGCAGTAGTAAGCTAGCCAGGCTGATTGCGCATGCAGCTGACACAGCGGGAGCCACTTTTGAGAAGCAAGCGAGAGAAGAGAGAAAATGCAGACAGCATGGCTTCTTCTAACGAAAACATAATACCTCCACGCCCGCAGCTTGTTGACGAAACTGGCTGCAGAAGCGAACTATTCAAATGCTTTGATTACAGAGCAGATGATGAGAGCCAGCCCAACGAAACAACTAAGCAAAATATGTTACAAAGCAGTGCAGTGCAAGGGAGGTTTATTTCCAAAACAATGACATGAATATATTCAGCATGACATTCATGTGAGCATTATAGTATGATCACACAACCCAAAAGTATTGTGAAATGTGCTCATAGCTTGACAGCAATATATTTAGACTACTTCAAGTTTGTTTGGGCCCACCCTGGGAAGTGAAATGCAATCTGGGAATTATGTATGTATGCTGTGTGAAATCCATTGTATTTCTATGGCGTGTAGACTATTGAAATATAAAAGCTTCAGAAATGAGCTTGTGTTTTGGAACTTAACTATTCATTTAATACATACAATTATTTAGCTATAATGAATCATAGGTCTATGTAATTTCACCCAATATTATGGCCATAGATTAGCAAATTAACCCTGATATTTATCTAATTACATTTTTAAAACAGTTTAGATTGAATTGTAAAATGTATTTTGTCTGCTCTGAGTCTCCGATATGGTTTTGCATAAGGAAAATTGAAGGTATTATTCTGTTCTTTAATATGGTGTTTTATTTTTTCAAAGAAATTGAATATACGCTGAACAAAATATAAATGCCACATGCATGTTTCATGAGCTAAAAAATAAAATCCTAGAAATGTTTATGTACAGAAAGCTTATTTCTCTCAAATGTTGTGCATACATTTGTTTATATAGCTGTTAGTGAGCATTTCTCCTTTGCCAAGATAATCTTTCCACCTGACAGGTGTGGCATGTCAAGAAGCTGATTAAACAAGCATGATCAAACATATTGCAAATTGAGAAATCATGTGACTAAACTGAATAAAAAGAAGAATCAACACTATGAAACAAGGATAAATGACATAAAGAATGATAGTAAAAAGCTTTGGAGCACCTTAAATGACATTTTGGGAAAAAAGGCAAACTCAGCTCCATCATTTATTTAATCAGAAAACCAACTGATATTGCCAACTACTTTAATAATTTTTTCATTGGCAAGATTAGCAAATTTAGGCATTACATGCCAGCAACCATTGCTGACACTACACATCCAAGTATATCTGACCAAATTATGAAAGACATTGTAATTTTGAATTCCGTAAATGAGTGTGGAAGAGGTGAAAAAATGGTTGTCCATTAACAATGACAAGCCACCGGGGTCTGACAACTTGGATGGAAAATTGCAGAGGATAATAACGGACGATATTGCCACTCCTATTTGCCATATTTTCAATTTAAGCCTACTAGAATGTGTGTGCCCCCAGGCTTGGAGGGAAGCAAAAGTCATTCCGCTACTTAAGAATAGTAAAGTCCCCTTTACTGGTTCAAATAGCCGACCAATTAGCCTGTTACGAAACCTTAGTAAACTATTGGAAAATACAATGCTATTTTACTGTAAACAAATTGACAACAAACTTTCAGCATGCTTATAGAGAAGGACATTCAACAAGCACAGCACTTACACAAATGACTGATTGGCTGAGAGAAATTGATGATAAAAAGATTGTGGGGGCTGTTTTGTTAGACTTCAGTGCGGCTTTTGACATTATCGATCATAGTCTGCTGCTGAAAAAACGTATGTGTTATGGCTTTACACCCCCTGCTATAATGTGGATAAAGAGTTACTTGTCTAACAAAACACAGAGGGTGTTCTTTAATGGAAGCCTCTCCAACATAATCCAGGTAGAATCAGGAATTCCCCAGGGCAGCTGTCTAGGCCCCTTGCTTTTTTCCAGCTTTACTAACGACATGCCACTGGCTTTGAGTAAAGACAGTGTGTCTATGTATGCATATGACTCAACACTATACACGTCCGCTACTACAGCAACTGAAATAACTGCAACACTTAACAAAGAGTAATAAAGCCCCTTTGTGGGGAAAAACTCATTCTGATTGGCTGGGCCTGGCTCCCCAGTGGGTGGGCCTGGCTCCCCAGTGGGTGGGCCTATGCCCACCCTTGGCTGCGCCCCTGCACAGTCATGTAAAATCCATAGATTAGGGCTTATTTATTTCAATTGACTGATTTCTTTATGTACTGTAACTCAGTAAAATCTTTGAAATTGTTGCATTTATATTTTTGTTCAGTATAGAAGATATTTATTTTACAGTTTAACAGTTATCAACATATTATTCAATGTTTAAAAAAATAAAGCCCAGTGGTTATTCTGTGACTAGCTAATATGCAGTTTTTTTTTGTTGCCGTAGTATCATTTTGTTATCGAGTATCGTTTTGGTATCGAGTATCATGATACTTAACCCGGTATTGGTATTAAAGTCAAAAATCTGGTATCGTGACAACACACTACTAACTACAGCAGGGCTGCCCAACCCTCTTCCTGGAGATCTACTGTCCTGTAGGTTTTCAGTACAACTCTAATTTAGCATATCTGATTCAGCTAGTTAAGGTCTTGTTGAGCAGCTAATTAGTAGAATCAGGTGTGTTAAATTAGGGTGGACTGAAAACCCACAGGACGGTAGATCTCCAGGAAGAGGGTTGGGCAGCCCTGAACTACAGGGTTTACTTGTTGGAATGTCATGTCAGTGCCTAGATTTTGTCATCAATGTACTGTGTAATGAACCTCAAAGGGCAGTACGTTATGTATGTATGCAATGCATGTATTGGGTCAGTTGGTTACAGTTGTGACTGTTTTTATATTCTCTCCTGTAGAATATTGAACAAGTTCTTGGACAATTACCAGGAGGATCTGCTTCCATGGCATGAGAGCATAGAACCATGCTTGTCTTCTATGACCGCATTCATCAATGACCATGAGGTAGGAAAGATCCTCCCACAGGTGGCTGATGGCACCTTAATTGGGGAGGACTGGCTCATAGTAATGGCTCGAATGGAATAAAATCAAACACATGGTTTCGATGTGTTTGATACCACTCCATTCCAGCCATTATTATGATCTGTCCTCACCAGCCTCCTGTGGATCCTCCATGATTATAAACGCATAGCTATAATCCTGTTTCTATTTTAGCTACTTATTCAATTAATGGTCATGTAATTGACACAAGGTTGTTTTTTTCTAGGTTGTCCAGCTGCTCATCCGCTTCCTGTATCGCCTGGCCTCTCTGAACAAAGACTATGCCGTGGTGATGTGTCGTCTGGGCACAAAGGACGCCCTGGTCAAGGCGCTGGACAAGCACAGTATCAACCTGCTTATGGTCACAGAGCTGCGGGACTTAATCACAGACTGTGAGAAGTACGCCAGTCTCTACAAGAAAATGACCACCAGCGTTCTGGCTGGTTGCATACAGGTTTAGTACAAGTGCTACTATCTAAATATTCAGTCAGTTATATTGTTATATTTTCTCTCCACATTTTTTATTCACAGCGAAACCTATTGTTGTTCTTCGATTTTTAAAAACAGTTTTTTTTTACCTTGACATGGTCAAATAATTCAAGCATAGATTGGTAAATTTCGAGTAACTTGGTCAAAAAGAAATGCATCGATTGGCTATAGGACCCGTAATGTCCATCAGGATAGATTTCCCTCCATCTTGGACATTTGGAAGACGTGCTAACATGCTAAAATATACGTTCTCATGAACCATATAATACACTATTTATAAATGTAGGCCCATGGTATATGTTTAAACTTAGTTTGAGAAAAGCTAATGATTTGGTCAATCTGATTTTACTTGTCCATTTAAACCACTGTAAATCCACTCCATAGTGGCCTATCAACTTAAAACTTAGCATCGCTATCATGGACATTTTTAAGATGAACCACACTGAATTTGGAAGGAAACTATTAACTAATTCTTTGCATATATAACGCTAAATCGCACAATAATCTGCAAACATCTTCATGAAACATATGTCAGATTCACTCCAGATGTTGTATTTAGACTCATGATTGCACATAAAGGAAGACAGTTCCTACATAATGGGGCGGCAGGAATCTTAGTGGGTAAGAGCGTTGTGCCAGTAACCGAAAGGTCGCTGGTTCTAATCCCTGAGCTGACTAGGTGAAAAATCTGTCGATGTGCCCTTAAGCAAGGCACTTAACCCTAATTGCTCCTGTAAGTCGCTCTGTATAAGAGTGTCTGCTAAATGACTAAAATGTAAATGTATAATAGTGCTTGCTTTGTAATCCAATTGATCTTGTGTCTTTTGTCATCCTGTGAACCCTGTTCATTGCTGCTCGCAGCTATATTTTTTACTTGTGGTTCTTAGAAATGTTACTTCAATAGGGGATGTCACATTTGGCTTGCAAGTGTCATGCCACTCTGTCTGTTGCTAATAGCTCATTTGTAATCCATGCTGTCCTTTCTAACCAAATATAGATGGTTTTGGGCCAAATAGAGGAGCATCGGCGAAGCCACCAACCAATCAACATCCCCTTCTTTGACGTCTTTCTGCACAATCTGTGCCAAGGTATATTTACTTTTAGCTGACTCAAAGCACAACTAAATACCAGCCACGCAAAGAAATGGTGACAAAATCAGGGCTCCAAACTAACATTTCCTCTGGTGGCACTGGTGCCACTAACTTTTTCAGTTGGTGGCACCAGCCCATGATTTGATCGCACCCCAAAAAAAGTATAATTGTAGAGCCACAAAAAAAGGTAGGAGTAATTATCTTTTAAAGTAATTATATAGTAATTCACAATGCTTTATTAAGAAGTGTAATAGACTACTGAGAATAAATAACTTAATCAAATCAAAATAAAATAAAATTTTATTGGTCGCTTACACATCTTTTGCAGATGTTATTGCAGGTGCAGCGAAATGCTTATGTTTCTAGCTCCAACAGTGCACTGATACAGAAAAATACAAAACAATACACACAAATCAAAAAAAATCTAAGAACGAAATTAAGAAATATCAGAACGAGCAATGTCAGAGTCCAGAATATAAATATACAATGCCTTCAGAAAGTATTCACACCCCTTTACTTTTTTTTCCACATTTTGTTGTGTTTACAGCCTGTATTTTAAAATGTATTCACATTTTGATGTTGTGCCACTGGCCTACACACAATACCGCATAATGTCAAAGTGGAATGATGTTTTGGGGAATTTTTACAAAATAATTAAAAAATAAAAAGCAGAAATGTCTTGAGTCAAATATTCAACCCCTTTGTTATGGCAAGCCTAAATAAGTTCAGGAGTAACAATTTGCATGGACTAGTGTTTAACATGATTTTTGAATGACCACCTCATCTCTGTACCCCACACATCAAATTATCTGTAAGTTCCCTCAGTCGAGCAGTGAATTTCAAACACGGATTCAACCACAAAGACCAGGGAGGTTTTCCAATGCCTCGCAAAGAAGGGCACCTATTGGAAGATGGGTAAAAAATAAAAAAGCAGACATTGAAATCCCTTTGAGCATGGTGAAGTTATTAATTACACTTTGAATGGTGTATTAATACACCCAGTCACTACAAAGATACAGGCGTCCTTCCTAACTCGGTTGCCGGAGAGGAAGGAAACCGCTCAGGGATATCTCCATGAGGCCAATGGTGACTTTAAAACCATTACAGAGTTTAATGGATGTGATGGGAGAAAACTGAGGATGGATCAACATTGTAGTTACTCCACAATACTACATGTAACCTAAATGACAGAGGGAAAAGATGGAAGCCTGTACTGAATATAAATATTACAAAACATGCATCCTGTTTGCAACAACGCACTAATGTAAAACTGTAAAAAATGTGGCAAAGAAATTAACTATGTCCTGAATACAAAGCGTTATGTTTTGGGCAAATCCAACACAACAGATCACTGAGTACAACTCTTCATATTTTCAAGCATGTTGGTAGCTGCATCATGTTATGGGTATGCTTGCCATCGGCAAGGACTAGGGAGTTTTTTTAGGATAAAAAGAAACGTAATAGAGCTAAGCACAGGCAAAATCCTAGAGGAAAACCTGGTTCAGTCTGCTTTCCAACAGACAAATTCACCTTTCAGCAGGACAATATCCTAAAACACAAGGCCAAATATACACTGGAGTTGCTTACCAAGATGACATTGAAGGTTCCTGAGTGGCTATTTAAATTTTTGACTTAAATCGGCTTGAAAATCTATGGCAAAAAAATGTCTGTCTAGCAATGATCAACCAACTTGACAGAGCTTGAATACTTTTTTAAAGAATAATGTGCAAATATTGTACAATCCAGGTGTGCAAAGCTCTTAGACGTACCCAGAAAGACTCTGTAATCACAGCCAACAGTGATTATAACATGTATTGACTCAGAGGGTTGAATACTTGTGTAATCAAGATGTACTGTATGAGTGTTTTTATTTTTCATTACAAATATTAGAATTTTTCTTCCAGGGTATTGTGTGTAGATCTTTGACAAAAAATGAGAATTAGATCAATTTAATCCCGCTTTGTAACACAACAAAGTGGAAAAAGTCAAGGGGTGTGAATACTTTATGGTGTGTATGGACAGTATATGAATAGAAGATATGTGTACAGCAGTAGTTGTATAGGATGAGCCTTGACTATAATACAGTATATACATATGAAGTGGGTAAAACAGTATGTGACGATTATTAAAGATACCAGTGTTCAATTTATTATTTACATAGGGCAGCAGTCTCTAAGGTGCAGGGTACATTACCGGGTGGTAGCCGGCTAGTAACAATGACCAAGTTCATGGCAGGGTACTGGGCGGAAGGCCGGCTAGCGGTGACTATATAACAGTCTAACGGCCTGGAGATGGAAGTCATAGGTTGACAATATGGCAATTTTGTTATTTTACTTTCAAAATAGAGCTCCAGAATAGAGATAGTTTTTGTTCAATAGAGATGAATTTGCCTCCATCTTTAGGCTAATATCCTAAATTCAGCTACAGTTGACCGTTACACAAGAGGTCATCGAATGGTTTGTTGAGGTCGGTGTGAAGAAGCACACCTGACCCAACTCATTGAACACTTTGGGATGAATTGGACGCTTGCGGCCAGGCCTAAGCCCAACATCAGTGCCGACATCACTAAGCTTTGGGTGATGGAAGCTCCCCAGCATGTCATTAGTAGCTTCCAAAAGTGGAGCGTTATAAAGCAAAGGGGGACCAATCCTATATGCCATATTTTGAAAGTGTTCAACAAATGTCGACTCTTTGGCAGGTATGAACTACAGCAACTGAAGAAACATAATCAGAAATACACTACTGACAGTTAATCTAACAATTGAGTCCTAAAAAAAACTTTGATGAGGCTATGCACCTCAAGGCTGAGCGCTACTAAGAAGCTGAGACCCTCCTCTCTTTTATTATGGACAACTAGTTGGTTCCAAATAGGACTGCACGATATGGGCCAAAAATCTAATTGTGATTTTTCAACCAAATATTGCAATTGCAGTTTGACTTGCGATATAGACATAAACACTTTGGTGAACTGTTGGAATCAAAAAATATAATTATTTTTCTAGTTCTATGGTTGGTATTTGGCATGACAACAAATGGAAAAAAAAACAGGTAGGAGTTATGGCAGGGTAGGAACCAAAGTGTTGGTCAGTGTTTCCCAGGGGGCCCTAATTACATTTGAATAGATGTTACATTTGAATAGATGTTACATTTAGACAAAGATTTTAGAATAGGCTCTCTGATTCAGAACATACCGTTGCGACTAAATGGTTGCAGTCTGGAGCCCTGCAAAATGTATCAATATGTAATTCCTTTTGTATTCAGTTTTCATAAAATCAAGAAATAAATGACTAGTACTGGTAGATGAATTACTTTACCCAATCATCCCTTAAGTTTTTATTAAGCTTCTGGAAGTTAAAGTCCAACTTGTCTTAAACTGTCATGTTCACCTTTGTCATACTTTGTCTACTGTATGTGACCGTTAACAACAGGATCTAGTGTGGAACTCAAGGAGGACAAGTGCTGGGAGAAAGTGGAGGTTTCCTCTAATCACCATCGCGCCAACAAGCTCACTGACAAGAACCCTAAAACCTACTGGGAGTCCAATGGCTGCACAGGTTCCCATTTTATCAACATCTACATGCACAAGGGGGTGGTGATTAGGTATGTCCACACATCACTTTGGTCATACTAAGGGTTTAGAATGTTGGAATGTTTACTCGTGATATGTATGCACAATATGTAAAGAATTGAAAATGAAGCACAGCTGTGTTGCTCACTGTTACCTTGCCTGTATACTGAAACGTTTCTGTTATTGCCTTGTTCTTGCATCTGTGGATTTTTATGCTAGACTGCATGCTTTATCTTAAACAACTGCTGTGCTTACTTCAATGGCATTCATATTTGTACTATTTCTTACTGTAACTATTGGGCACTTACTGTAAGCACATTTTCTCCTGTTCTTGTTAAACCCAGGCAATTGGCTGTGCTTGTAGCCGGTGAAGACTCCAGCTATATGCCTGCTCGCATGGTGGTACTTGGAGGAGACGACCCCACAAACATCAACACAGAGCTGAACACAGTAAGTAGCTGTATAGGCAGGCAGGAGTAAGAAACTCTTGGAAGTAGGATATATGTATGATCTTGTCTTTTTAAGGTTTAAGCCCCTCACCCGCCCAACTCTTTGTGTTTACAGGTCAATGTGCCGCCGTCAGCCAATCGCATAGTGTTGCTGGAGAATATGAACCGCTTCTGGTCCATTGTGCAGATCAGGATCAAGAGGTGTCAGCAGGTGGATTGTCACATCATGAAAATTGGAATTTCAATTGCGTTTTACTTCCTGAATTGACTGAATTGAAATGGTATTGATCTCAACCCTGGATTAACAGTACTTTCTCTTCACACCAGGGTGGCATCGACGCGAGGGTCCACGGCTTTGAGGTGTTGGGGCCCAAGCCCACCTTCTGGCCCGTGTTCAAGGAGCAGCTCTGCTGTCGCACCTACCTCTTCTACAGCACCAAGGCCCACACCTGGTGCCAGGAGATCCTGGAGGACAAGGCCCAGCTGCTGCAGCTCTTCAACAAGTAAGCCTGTCTCTACTATACACACTACTGCTAACTACACTCACCCCCAGACTGTTCTAAACTGGCCTGGTGTGTGTCTCTGCAGACTGAACAGCGCACTGCGACATGAGCAGATGTTTGCTGACCGCTTCCTGCCCGATGCCGAGGCAGCGGAGGCTCTGGGACGCACCTGCTGGGAGGCCCTCATCACCCCCATCGTACAGACCATCACCATCTCGGGTAACTACCTGAATGTCTGGGTGTTTCTCAATATGCATACTACAGTGCGCCACACTCATGCTCCGAGTTTATTCTCTGAGTAAGTTCTTGTGAGACCGAGAGTGTAGAGAATGCATAACACATTACATTTGAGAAGCACTCGCTCTCCCCCTACTGAATTACCTCACGCTGCACCTTCCCATTCACTGAACCTTCTTCCAGCCAGGACAATAGCAACAATAGAGACTAAACAAGATATACACAAAGCAAACGTTTTACTTCATAATTATCAGCTAGCTATATGGAAATCGTAATAATCTAGCTAGCCAGTCGACCATACATTTTCATCAACTAAGATGATTCTCTGTCTCCTCCACTCCCAACAGAGACCGAAGTCCTCAGTCCCCTCTCCTGGCTACTCGCTGAGTACCTGGACAACGCAGAGTCAGCCAGGCGCTGCAAGAGCCGGGCCGCCATCTTCAACTCCCGCGTCCGTCGCCTCACACACCTACTGGTCCATGTGGATACCAGCCGAGTGGACACAGAGGAGCTCAAGCCGCCCATCAAATGCAGTGAGTAATCCTGTAACCCTATACCCTACCACCTCTTTACTTCTGATAAACACTCAAGTCTTTTCTCTGTCCAGCTGTGACTGATATTTCATCAGTCGTAGTGGGACAAAATGTGGTCTTCTCAATCTTTTTCAATAGTGAATTGGCAATTATTGCCCATAAAATTGGGTGCGGAAATGCTACAGGAATTGGCAATCAAAATGAGCTGCGAATAAATCTCAGTAGACTAAAGACTAGATTTTGCATGGTAGTATAATATTTGGAAATGCGAACGTATTGATACTTTATTCATAATGTTTGTTAGACGCAACCCATCACGTCTTCCGTATTTCTTTTGTTTTCAGAAGGTATCAACCGAAGCAAAGTTTTAAAGAGTAAGTAACAGCTTAGAGGCTAATGTACTGCATTTAGTTTTTAAGTTATTCTTCCAGCATCTCCATTTTTATATTACCAATGACTGAGTCATTCCGCTTTCCCCACCACACGCAACCCTCCAGTTTGAATTGAAAATGATCAGGACGATGTGTTACTCATTTGTTTCTTTCAGTTGTTTTTGGCTGTAGTTTCATACACTACATGACCAAAAGTATGTCGACACCTGCTTGTTGAACATCTAATTCAAAAATCATGGGCATTAATATGGAGTTGGTCCCCCCTTTGCTGCTATAACAGCCTCCACTCTTCTGGGAAGGCTTTCCACTAGATGTTGGAACATTGCTGCGGGGACTTGCTTCCATTCAACCACAAAAGCATTAGTGAGGTCGGCACTGATGTTGGGCAATTAGGCCTGGCTCGCAGACGGCGTTCCAATTCATCCCAAAGGTGTTCAATGGAGTTGAGGTCAGGGCTCTGTGCTTCTTTCACACCGACCTCAACAAACCATTTCTGTATGGACCTCGCTTTGTGTACGGGGTCACTGTCATGCTGAAACAGGAAAGGGCCTTCCCCAAACTGTTTCCACAAAGTTGGAAGCACAGAACTGTCTAGAGTATCATTGTATGCTGTATCTTTAAGATTTCTCTTCACTGGAAACTAAGTGGCCTAGCCCGAACCATGGAAAAACAGCCCCAGACCATTATTCCTCCTCCACCAAACTTTACAGTTGGCCCTATGCAATGGGGCAGGTAGTGTGCTCCTGGCATCTGCCAAACCCAGATTTGTCCGTCGGACTGCCAGACGGCAAAGCTTGATTAATCACTTCAGAGAACACGTTTCCATTGCTCCAGAGTCCAATGGCAGCGAGCTTTACACCACTCCAGCAGACGCTTGGCATTACGCATGGTGAGCTTAGGCTTGTGTGCAGCTGCTCGGCCATGGAAACCCATTTCATTAAGCTCCTGACTAACAGTTATTGTGCTGACGTTGCTTCCAGAGGCAGTTTGGAACTCTGTAGTGAGTGTTGCATCCGAGGACAGACCTTTTTTTTTTTTTTTTTTTTTCCCTTTTTCTCCCCAATTTTCGATCTTGTCTCATCGCTGCAACTCCCCAACGGGCTCGGTAGAGGCGAAGTTGGAGTCATGCGTCCTCCGGAACATGACCTGCCTAACCTCGCTCCTTAATACCCGCCAGCTTAACCCGGAAGCCAGCCGCACCAATGTGTCGGAGGAAACACCGTTCAACTGGCGACCGGGGTCAGCCTGCAGGCACCTGGCCCGCCACAACGAGTCGCTAGAGCGCGATGAGCCAAGTAAAGCCCCACCGGCCAAACCCTCCCCTAACCCTGACGACACTGTGCCAATTGTGCGCTGTCCTATGGGACTCCCGGCCACGGGCGGTTGTGGCACAGCCCGGGAATGAACCCGGGTCTGTAGTAATGCCTCTAGCACTGCGATGCAGTGCCTTAGACCGCTGCGCTGGACAGACAAGTTTTACGTGCTACTCGGTGGTCCCGTTCTGCGATCTAATGTGTGGTCTACCACTTCGCGGCAGAGCAGTTATTGCTCCTAGACGTTTCCACTTCACAATAACAGCATTTACAGTTCACGAACTAACTTATTGGAAAGGTGGCATCCTATGACAGTGCCACATTGAAAGTCACTGAGCTCTTCTTCAGTAAAGCCATTCTACTACCAATGTTTGTCTATGGAGATTGCATGGCTGTGTACTCGATTTAATACACCTGTCAGCAACGGGTGTGGCTGAAATAGCCGATTCTAGTAATTTGAATGGGTGTCCACATACTTCTGTGTATATATAGTGTATTTATTTTTACCCTGAATTTGTCTCAAACCTTTTGCTTAGAAGATAACTGATTTTGTCATTTTCTTTCAGATGGAAAAGAGGGAAAGAACAAAGATGCAGCTGCTGTGTCCTCTTCCTCCTCCAGTTCTGTCAAGCCGAAGGTGAAGAACACCAGCAGTATTGCAGGGATAGCACTGTGTTGGCAGGGCGTGGTACAGAGACGGGTAAGCCACTCTTACGTCTCTAAAAACACTGAGGCCCATTATAAACCTACTCTGATCTAATGTTATTGAAGTAAGTTGGTGGTGTAATTCTGATCAAAAGCTTAAGTCAAGATGGCATCACTAAATTAATCTTTTTTTACTTGAGAGTGATTATTCGACCCATGTTTAACAGGTGAAGAAATTCTTGGACTCGAGGTGCAGTCTGCCAGACTTTGTGGAGCGTTACAGGAACATGTACCTCAGTCTGAAGAATGCCATGGAGGAGCTGTTTGGCCAACAGACAGCATTTGTGCTGGCTCTCCGCCACGGCTTCTCTGCTGCTCTCCTACAGCTCTCCATCCTCACCGCCATGCATGTGAGTTATACTGGATGACCTGTACTCAATACTACCTGGGTCACGTTCATTAGGGCACGCAACGAAAAACTGCAATAGTTATTCTCTGTTTCAGTCCGTTTTCTTCTGTTTGGTTCCTAATGAACATGACCCGGCAATGTACCTGTAACACATCTATGCTCCAGATCACTGCTGTCTGTGTGGGTTACATTCTTCATCTCTATGTGTGTTTGCAGATGAGTGAGCAGTTTGCCCAGTACATTGACTTGATGATCCAGGAGAGTGGAGTGGACTCTGGCAATGTGGAGACTCTTAACCAGTTGCAGCAATTTCTAGAACCTATGCTCTTTCTCTCCGGCCTGGAGCTTGCCAACACCTTTGAGCACTGTTACAGGTAAGGCCACATTTCTATCTCTGTAGCAGACTCCTGCACGGGTCAGTTTTTTGGAGCCGCATCTGCTCTGCGCCGGCCACATCAATTTCCGCCTAGAATTGTTCCGAAAGACGATCTGTGACCTGCCAAATAACATATATTTATTTAATTGTTTTTATGACTCCAGAGTAGTAGGCTATTAGCATTAATTAGTCTGCATGTCTATTCAACATTTGGATAAAAGGAAACCATGCCATGAATTAAGAATGATAGACCTATCTTCTTATGTTCACAATGTAATGCTGCACAACTCCAATCGCTTTTTAAAAAATAGCCTTCTTATTAGCCTCCTTCTTCCCTAATGAAAGCTTATAGCAGACATAACAATACCTTTACTTCAGTGTTGTTTAGAAAAACTAATATTTAATTTAAATAAACAATTCCTAGAATCGAATATGCTGTAGGCTATTGGCTACTCAAACTTTTACCAGCCTCACAGGTTTAAACTTTATATGGCCTGCGTATTGGTCTAAGTGCAAGCCTGAATTCATGTAATAATTAACCGAATTATCGTAAACTAAGACTTGCTTGCACCTTTACCAGCTGTGTATCCATCTACCGGGTTGTTGTTCTCCTTGTCCGCAATGACTGAAAAAAATCTTCCAAACCTGGGATTTTCACTAGTGCAGCACCTGTTTCCACGACGGTGTATTCCACCATCATAATCTTTTTTGATTTATCCTGTTACGTTAGCCATTTGTGTGAGCTAGGAGTCAGGGAAAGTAAACTTGGCAATGTATTGTCATGTGGAGGAAGGGAACATAAGCTCTGCACGTGGAGAAATTAGGAATGTTTCAACACCATACACATAATGGACAGTTCCCTGCTCCACTCTCTCGCTGCGTGGCTAGTAGCCTTGGCTATGTCTGCATCACCGCTCACATAATGGAATTCGCAACACAACAAGCTCCTTTGTTCAAATAATATTCTCTTGATTTTAAAACGTTTCCGACCCGCAATATAACTGTTCTGAACCGCGAGCCGACCTGCGGGTTAAAAACATTTTTAATTCCACCCGCCAGCTGATTTCTTTGCGGGTGAACCACGGGGAACTGTGGGGACTCAAATCTGTAAGGCCAACCTAAGACCATTTATCATCCATAAAAGGACCATATTGTAGCATTGTCTCGGGAGAGTCTCAATCCATCTCTTTTCCCCCCTCCTCCACAGGTACTACCTGGGTGATAGGCTGCTGGGCCAGGGCAAGGTGTGGCTGGAGAGTGCCGTCATAATGCAGATAGGCACCTGCTTCCCAAACCGCTTCCCCCAGCAGATGCTGAAGAACCTGAGTGAGTCTGAGGAGCTGCAGCAGGAGTTCCACCTCTACCGCCTCCAGCAGCTGGACAAGACACTGCAGGATGTCGACGAGGAGGTGAGCAAAGGACCAAAACCACCACTGCAATGTAATATTTTATACAGTGCATTCGGAAAGCGTTCAGACACCTTGACTTTTTCCACATTTTGTTACGTTACAGCTTTATTCTGAAATGGGTTAAATCGTTTTTCTCCCTCATCAATCTACACACAATACTCCATGACAAAGCGAAAACAGGTTTTTAGAAATGTTTGCACATTTATAAAATTTTAATAAAAACTGAAATATTACATTTACATAGGTATTCAGACCCTTTACTCAGTACTTTGTTGAAGCACCATTGGCAGCGATTATTGTATTGTCTTGGCTGTGTGCTTAGGGTCGTTGTCCTGTTGGAAGTTGAACCTTCGCCCCAGCCTGAGGTCCAGAGCGCTCTGGAGCAGGTTTCCATCAAGGATCTCTGTACTTTGCTCCTTTCATCTTTCCCTCGATCCTGACTAGTGTCCCAGTCCCTGCCGCTGAAAAACATCCCCACAGCCACCACGCTTCACCTTAGGGATGGTGCCAGGTTTCCTCCAGACGTGACGCTTAGCATTCAGGCCAAATACTTGAATACTCTTGTTTCTCATGGTCTGAGAGTCCTAGGTGTCTTTTGGCATACTCCAAGCGGGCTGTCATGTGCCTGTTACTGAGGAGTGGCTTCCATCTGGCCACTCTACCATAAAGGCCTGATTTGGTGGAGTGCTGCAGAGATGGTTGTCCTTCTGGAAGGTTCTCCCATCTCCACAGAGGAGCTCTGTCAGCGTGACCATTGGGTTCTTGGTCACCTCCCTGACCAAGGCCCTTCTCCCCCGATTGTTCAGTTTGGCCGGGCGGCCAGCTCTTCCATTTTTAAGAATGATGGAGTTCACTGTGTTCTTGGGGACCTTCAATGCTGCAGACATTTTTTGGTACCCTTCCCCAGGTCTGTGCCACGACACAATTCTGTCTCCGAGCTCTACAGACAATTCCTTTGACTTCATGGCTTGGTTTTTGCTCTGACATGCACTGTCAACTGTGGGACCTTATATAGACAGGTGTGTGCCTTTCCAAATCATGTCCAATCAATTGAATTTACCACAGGTGGACTCCAATCAAGTTGTAGAAACATCTCAAGGATGATCAATGGAAACAGGATGCACCTGAGCTCAATTTCGAGTCTCATAGCAAAGGGTTTTAAAACGTATGTAAATAAGGTGTTCCTGTTTTTTTTATTTTAATAGAAGTACATACATTTCTAAAAACCTGTTTTCGCTTTGTCATTATGGGGCATTGTGTGGAGATTGATGAGGAAAATGTTTTCTTTAATCCATTTTAGAATAAGGCTGTAACGTAACAAAATGTGGAGTGGAGGAAGGGGTCTGAATGCTTTCCCAATGCACTGGACAGTGAGCTCCAAAAGTATTGGGACAGTGACACGTTTTGGCTCTGTACTCCAGCATTTTGCACTTTAACCTCAGTCATTGTATCAAATCCAGACTGTCAGCTTTAATTTGAGGGTATTTTCATTCATATTAGGTGAACCGTTTAGAAATTACAGCACATTTTGTACATAGTTCACCCATTTTAGTGGATCGAAAGTATTGGGACAAATTCACTTAAGTCTATTAAAGTATTCCGATTTTTTTTTTTTTAGTATTTGGTCTGTATTCCTAGCACGCAATGACTACAACAAGCTTGTGACTCTACAAACTTGGAGTCATTTGCTGTTTGTTTCAGATTATTTTGTGCCCAGTAGAAATGAATGGTAAATAATGTATTGTGTCATTTTGGAGTCACTTTTACTGTAAATAAGAATAGAATATGTTTCTAAACACTTCTACATGAATGTGGATGCTACCTGATTACGGATAATCCTGAATGAATCGTGAGTAATGATGAGTGCGAATGTTAGACGCATAAATATCATACCACCCCCAAAAAACATGCTAACCCCTGCTATTGTAATGGTGAGAGGTTAGCATGTTTTGGGGGTTATGATATTTGTGCATCCAACTTTCTCACCTATAATTATTCACAATTCATTCAGGATTATCCGTAATCATGGTAGTTTTCAAATGAATGTAGAAGTGTTTTGAAACATATTCTATTCTTATTTACAATAAAAGTTACAATACATTATTTACTATTTCAGTTGGGCACAAAATAATCTGAAACAACCAAAACAAACAGCAAATGACTCCCAAGTTTGTAGAGTCAAGCTTGATGTAGTCATTGCGTGCTAGGAATATAGACCAAATACTAAAAACTTTTGACTACTTTAATAAACATAAGTGAATTTGTCCCAATACTTTCGATCCACTAAAATGGGTGGACTATGTACAAAAAGTGCTGTAATTTCTAAACGGTTTACCCGATATGGATGAGAACACCATCAAATTAAAGCTGACAGTCCAAACTTTAACCTCATAGTCGCTGTAATATTTCAAATCCAGAGTGCTGGAGTACAGAGCCAAAACAACCAAAAATGTGCCATTGTCCCAATACTTTTGGAGCTCACTGTATATAGCAGATGATCGTTTCCAAAGCAGCATACACATATTACGATGTTATATGACCTCTTGGGAATCCAACCCATAACCCCAAAAAAATGTTGTCCTTTGCTGTGCTGCAGATGATGGATGATCAGCCATCGGAGCCTGATGAGGAGAGTGAGGTGAAGGTGCTGGTCCTGTCACCTCGCTGCTGGGCCGTCTCCTCACCCTGCTACCTGGACAACTCCAGCAGATACTTCCCCAAGCAGCTCTGCACCTACCTGGCGGAGTTCACAGACTTCTACTCTAACAGTCAGTCCCCTTCTGTCATCTGTCTTTTCACAAAGTTTGGCTGTATGTTTCCCTCCTCACATTGATGTACATTACCGGTCAAAAGTTTTAGAACACCTACTCATTCAAGGGTTTTTCTTTATTTTTACTACTTTCTACATTGTAGAATAATAGTGAAGACATCAAAACTATGAAATAACACACATGGAATCATGTAGTAACCAAAAAAGTGTTAAACAAATTATATTAATATTTGAGATAATTCAAATAGCCACCATTTGCCTTGATGACAGCTTTGCACACTCTTGGCATTCTCTCAACCAGCTTCATGAGGTAGTCACCTGGAATGCATTTCAATTAACAGGTTTGGGGGGGGGGGGGGGGTATACAGAAGATAGCCCTATTTGGTAAAAGACCAAGTCCATATTATGGCAAGAACAGCTCAAATAAGCAAAGAGAAACGACAGTCCATCATTACCTTAAGACATGAAGGTCAGTCAATACTGAACATTTCAAGAACTTTAAAAGTTTCTGTAAGTGCAGTCGCAAAAACCATCAAGTGCTATGATAAAACTGGCTCTCATGAGGACCGCCACAGGAATGGAAGACCCAGAGTTACCTCTGCTGCAGAGGATAAGTTCATTAGAGTTACCAGCCTCAGAAATTGCAGCCCAAATAAATGCTTCACAGAGTTCAAGTAACAGACACATCTCAACATCAACTGTTCAGAGGAGACTGTGTGAATCAGGCCTTCATGGTCGAATTTCTGCAAAGAAACCACTACTAAAGGACACCAATAAGAAGAAGAAGAGACTTGCTTGGGCCAAGAAACACGAGCAATGGACATTAAGCCGCTGAAAATGTGTCCTTTGGTCTGGAGTCCAAATGCGAGATTTTTTGTTCCAACCGCTGTGTCTTTGTGAGACGCGGTGTGGGTGAACGGATGATCTCTGCATGTGTATTTCCCACCGTAAAGCATGTAGGAGGTGGTGTTATGGTATGGGGGTGCTTTGCTGGTGACACTGTCTGTGATTGATTATTTAGAATTCAAGGCGCACTTAACCAGCATGGCTACCACAGCATTCTGCAGTGATACGCCATACCATCTTGTTTGGGCTTGGTGGGACTATCATTTGTTTTTCAACAGGACAATGACCCAACACACATCCAGGCTGTGTAAGGGCTATTTTACCAAGAAGGAGAGTGATGGAGTGCTGCATCAGATGACCTGGCCTCCACAATCACCCGACCTCAACTAAATTGAGATGGTTTGGAATGAGTCGGACCGCAGAGTGAAGGAAAAGCAGGCAACAAGTGCTCAGCATATGTGGGAACTCCTTCAAGACTGTTGGAAAAGCATTCCAGGTGAAGCTGGTTGAGAGAATGCCAAGTGTGTACAAAGCTGTCATCAAGGCAAAGGGTTGCTATTTGAAGAATATAACATATTTTGATTTGTTTAACACTTTTTTGGTTACTACATGATTCCATATGTGTTATTTCATAGTTTTGATGTCTTTACTATTATTCTACAATGTAGAAAATAGTAAAAATAAAGAAAAACCATTTTGAACGGTAGTGTACACTGAACAAAAATATGAGCGCCACATGTTACATGAGCTGAAATAAAAGATCCCAGAAATGTTCCATATGCACAAAAAGCTTATTTTTCTCTTATATTTTGTGCACATTTGTTTACATCCCTGTTAGTGAGCATTTCTCCTTTTGCCAAGATAATCCATCCACCTGACAGGTGTGGCATATCAAGAAGCTGATTAAACAGCATGATCATTACACAGGTGCACCTTGTGCTATGGACAATAAAAGGCCATTCTAAAATGTGAAGTTTTGTCACACAACACAATGCCACAGATTTCTCAAGTTGCGGGAACGTGCAATTGACATGCTGACTGCAGGAATGTCCACGAGCTGTTGCCAGAGAATGTAATGTTAATTTCTATACCATAAGCGAGGCGAACATCGTTTTAGAGAATTTGGCAGTACGTCCAACCGGCCTCACACCCGCAGACCACGTGTAACCACGCCAGCCCAGGACATCTGGCTTCTTCACCTGCGGGATTGTCTGAGACCAGCCACCTAGACAGCTGATGAAACTGAGGAGTATTTCTGTATGTAATAAAGCCCTTTCTTTGTACTTTTACCAATTTTTCTCCCCAATTTCGTGATATCCAATTGGTAGTTATTCTTGTCCCATCGCTGCAACTCCCCTACGGACAAGGGAGAGGCGACGGTCGAGAGCCATGCGTCCTCCGAAACACGACCCTGCCAAGCCGCACTGCTTCTTGACACACTGCTCGCTTAACCCGGAAGCTAGCTGCACCAATGTGTCGGAGGAAACACCGTCCAGCTGGCGACGGAAGTCAGCTTGCAGGTGCCCGGCCCGCCACAAGGAGTCTCTCGGGCACGATGGAACAAGGAAATCCCGGCCGGCCAAACCCTCCACTAACCCGGACGACGCTGGGACAGTTGTGTGCCGCCTCATGGGTCCTCCCGGTCACGGCCGGCTGTGACACAGCCAGGGATCAAACCCGGGTCTGTAGTGATGCCTCAAGACCGCTGCGCCACTCGGGAGGCGGGAAAAACTCATTCTGATTGGCTGGGCCTGGCTCCCAAGTGGGTGAGCCTATGCCCTCCCAGGCCCACCCATGGCTGCGCCCCTGCCCAGTCGTGAAATCCATAGATTAGGGCCTAATTAATTTCAATTTACTGATTTCCTTATATGAACTGTACCTCAGTAAAATCGTTGAAGTTGTTGCGTTTATATTTTTGTTCAGTATATTTTAGATCTTTCTCATATGCCAAAATCTTGCGAAGTTCCATCAGAGCCAGTCCGTTACAAAGGCATCTTTCAGAACGGAAGTGCTAGAGGCTGATTTGATGTGTGTTTGTCTGCAGGTCAGTGCGTGTACAATCTGACCCACAGTAAGCCCAGGCGTCTACAGTGGACCTGGCTGGGCCATGCAGAGCTGCACTACGGCTCCTGCACTCTCTATGTCTCCACCCTGCAGATGTACATCCTCCTGCAGTTCAACCACCAACAGGTAACTAGATGGGGGAAACGCAGTGCAAAGCGAGTTTAATTATTTAAAAAAATGTCATTGATAATGGGCTGATGTCTCTTAAACTACCTCCTGTTGTTATTATTTCAGGATGTATCTGTGGAGGCTCTTCAGCAGGCCACAGGCCTCTCCCCGATAGTGCTGGCCCATGCGCTGTCTCCCCTCACTGCAGAGAAGGGCATTCTCACCACAGACAGCCCCAATAACAATTTTGTGAAGGGTGAGCTCCCGCTCTTTCTTTCCCTGGCTAGCTCTTTCTTTGAGCCTTTCACAAATACATTATATGGAGCTACTGTGGATCCCTGTAATCCAGCAGATTTTTTGGTGACATTGCATTTACAAAAATAATTACACCCAAAGATTCCATCCCCTCAATTGTTTCCCAGTTAGTTGTTATTTTCATGACCATTTGAATTTACTGTTGGCGTTTGTGGAGTTGGACTGAATTTAAGGTTTTGTCCTTCTCTGCACATAGGAGTCCTGAGGTTGAACAAAAAAGCTCTGTCTCAGAGTTTGGAAAACCACAGCTACCTGCCCAAGCAGACCTACCTGAATGTGGACGAGGATGCTGCCCGCTTGCTGGAGAGGAAGAGGAACTTCATCTACTGCCTCATCATCCAGATCATGAAGGCTGAGAAAGAGATGCACATAGACAACCTGGTGTTCAGAGTAAGGCCTTGTTCCCTCATGTGTGACCAATGGAGATTATCAACTGATCCTATGTAGTGGCAGCATAAACATACATCCCTCCATGTTTCAGGTCCAGCTTTTATTTAGACTCCTCTTTATTTGATGTGCCAGATGCTAGCAGTGGGTGTCTTTTACGTCCCTATTTTATCCCTTGTCCTCCCTTAGGTGTTGGACACATGTCAGAAGCGGGAGGCGACTCGTTCCCCAGGTTCGGTGCATTTCAGCTGCAGCACTACAGACGTGCTGTCCTGTGTCATGCACGTCATCAGCAAGGGCTACATCAGGCGCAATGAGGACAGCCCCCACATCGTGGAGTTCCTGCCTGAAGACCCCTCCACTCCCCTGAAGGGCCAGGCGCAATTCTCCTTCAGCAAGGCAGAGCTGAAGAATAACCCCAGCAACAGCAGCAACGCTGACATCAGGTGTGCGGACGACCCTTGACCTAGTGGGGGAAGGGTTTTTAATGTAGACGGCTGGTGTAGCCTCTGTGGTGATTCTGTATCTCAGGGCATGTTTGGTTTTTGAATTGTAGGGAAGGAGAGTAGAAGAAGATTTACTAACAGGCCTTTTCCATTTCTATGTCTGTCTGCCATAGCCGTTGCATAAATGCTTTAATAGATAACCAATTGGGTTGAGGTCTTCAGCCCTGACATTACAGCACTTATTTGTGCCATATGCACTCGTTCTGTCCTAGTTGAGCTTTTAAATACACATTGACCTAAACTGTGGCTGGATGGCAATGCCTGGCAACGTTAGTCATTTCACATACAGGATGACCATTGACCACTGATGCTGTTTACCTTCAAAGAAACCCATGGCTCCAATACTGAAACGATTCATGAAACACAAAAATTATCAAGGCTTTTATGCAATATGTTGAGAAACAGTCAAAAGATGCTAGTGAATGTTCTATTAATATAAATAAAAGACAATTTCAACTTTGAACCATGTTTGCTGCCTTATTTTGTGTGGTTATAATACAGTAGTCTATAAATGCTGTGTGGGGTGAGATCTTTATTAATGAAGATACCAAAATTAGTCTCTACAGCTCTTTGCCATTAAAATCACACTACTAACCTGATAATTACAAGCTCTGCTTTCCATAAAGATGTTATTCTGTCGCACTGTTTTTAATAACACATGCTTGTTCTCTGAAATGAGAGTATTTCCAATGTAATCATACTAAACTGAGACCCCCTCACGTTTAAGAAGTTAAGATTTCCGTAGCTGTAAGTTACCTCTTGTGACCCGCTGTGTCTCCTCCTGCAGCCTGGAAGGCATCATTGCAGCCCCTCAGAGTGTGGAAGACGGGGTCCTGGAGGCTGTCCTGTTGTCCATGGGCCGGACTATGAACCAGGAGGAGGTACGGCAGCTGATGCAGCGCACAGTCCAGCAGGTCTCTGGCACCCTGAGTCTGGACCTGGACCGGGCTGAGCACCTGCTGGTCCACTGCAAGTGGAACGTGGACGTGCTGATCCAGCGCTACACAGACGACCCAGACTCCCTGGTCATGGCTGCTGGGCTGAAGGGCTGGAACCCCCAGCCGCCCCCCAGCCCTGTGTCCAGCTGCCCTGTGTGCCTCATCTCTGAAACAGGGGAGGCAGATCCCGCCCCCACCCTCTGCTGCATGCACTACTGCTGCCGGGTCAGTCACTTTACAGATTTTTCTAATCCTTTTCCAACTTTAAATTAGTTTTAATCTTGTATGGATACTTTAAAAGGGGCATTTTGCAGTTTCTATATAGTTTTTTGGACTTAATTAATGTACCCATTGATTCTTGAAGAATATACAGTGCCTTCAGGAATTATTCGTACCGCTTGACTTATTCCACATTTTGTTGTTACAGCCTGAATTCAAAATGGATTCAATAGATGTTTTTTCCCGCCCATCTACACACAATACCTCATAATGACAAAGTGAAAAAGTGTTTTAGATTTTTTTTCACATTTATTGAAAATGAGATCCAGAAATACACTACATGGCCAAAAGTATGTGGACACCTGCTTGTCAAACATCTAAATCCAAAATCATGGGCATTAATATGGAGTTGGTCCCCCCTTTGCTGCTATAACAGCCTCCACTCTTCTGGGAAGGATTTCCACTAGATGTTGGAACATTGCTGCGGGGACTTATTTCCATTCAGTCACGAGCATTAGTGAGGTCGGGCACTGATGTTGGGCGATTAGGCCTGGCTCGCAGTCTGCGTTCCAATTCATCCCAAAGGTGTTCGATGGGGTTGAGGTCAGGGCTCTGTCAGGCCAGTCAAGTTCTTCCACACTGATCTCGACAAACCATTTCTGTATGGACCTCGCTTTGTGCACGGGGGCATTGTAATGCTGAAACAGGAAAGGGCCTTCCCCAAACTGTTGCCACAACGTTGGAAGCACAGAATTGTCTAGAATGTCATTGTATGCTGTAGCGTTAAGATTGACCTTCACTGGAACTAAGGGGCCTAGCCCAAACCATAAAAAACAGCCCCAGACCATTATTCCTCCTCCACCAAACTTTACAGTGTGCACTATGCATTCAGGCAGGTAGCGTTCTCCTGGCATCCGCCAAACCCAGATTTGTCCAAACCCAGATGGAGAAGCTTGATTCATCACTCCAGAGAACGTGTTTCCATTGCTCCAGTGGCGGCGAGCTTTACACCACTCCAGCCGACGCTTGGCATTGCGCATGGTGACCTTAGGCTTGTGTGCGGCTGCTCGGCCATGGAAACCCATTTCATGAAGCTCCCGACGAACAGTTCTTGTGCTGACGTTGCTTCCAGAGGCAGTTTAGAACTTGGTAGGGAGTGTTTCAACCGAGGTCAGACAATTTTTATGCGCTTCAGCAATAACGGTACTTACAGTTGACCGGGGCAGCCCTGGCAGGGCAGAAATTTGACGAACTGACTTGTTGGAAAGGTGGCATCCTATGACGGTGCCACATTGAAAGTCACTGAGCTCTTCAGTACGGCCCAATGTTTGCCTATGAAGATTGCATGGCGGTGTGCTCGATTTTATACACCTGTCAGCAACGGGTGTGGCTGAAATAGCCAAATGCACTAATTTGAAGGGGTGTCCACATACACAATATATACAAAAGTATGTGGACACCCCTTCAAATTAGTGGATTCGGCTATTGTACAATATTTACACATTCTTACAAAAATTCTTCAAGCTCTGTCAAGTTGGTTGTTGATCATTGCTAGACAGACATTTTCAAGCCGATTTAGGTCAAAACTAACCCCTCAGACCTCGCGGTCTTCTTGGTAAGCAATTCCAGTGTATATTTGGCCTTGTGTTTAAGGTTATTGTCCTGCTGAAAGGTGAATTTGTCTCCCAGTCTGTTAGAAAGCAGACTGAACCAGGTTTTCCTCTAGGATTTTGCCTGTGCTTAGCTCTCTTCCGTTTCGTTTTGTCCTAAAAAAAACGATAACAAGCATACCCATAACATGATGCAGCCACCACCATGCTTGAAAATATGAAGATTGGTTCTCAGTGATGTGTTGGATTTGCTTCAGGACATGAAGTACATTTCTTTGCTACATTGTTTGCAGTTTTACTTTAGTGCCTTACTGCAAACAATGCATGTTTTGTTTATGAATTTGAGTGGTTACATTTCTCCAACCCTATCCCTCAGCTTTTTACCGAAACGGGTGAGGAGTGTACTTTGTTATTGTTTCAACTGCTGATTGCTGCTTTAAGAATGAATGAATCTGTACATGTGGAGTCGTAACATCCGCTCCTAATTGATGTGTGAACAGTTCATCACAGGACTCCCATTTCATGATTCTTTATTTATTTTTCCTTCCTACAGTCTTGCTGGCAGGAGTACCTCACGGCCAGAATTGAGCAGAACCTGGTGATGAACTGCAACTGTCCAATAACAGACTGCCGAGCACAACCTACCTCTCAGTTCTTCTTCAACATCCTGACCAACAAGGACACCATCGCCAAGGTCTGCACCCCCCCCCCCCCCCCACCCCCCCACCCACACAGCCCAATGAGAGCAACACACTTAGTGCATTCGGAAAGTATTCAAACCCCTTGATTTTTTCCCCACATTGTTACGTTACAGCCTTATTCTAAAAAAAATATATATATATATATATATATATATATATATATCATCAATCTACACACAATACTCCATAATGACAAAGCAAAAACAGGTTTTTAGAAATTTTTGCAAATGTATTAAAAAGAAAAATGGACATATCACATTTACATAAGTATTCATACCCTTTACTCAGTACTTTGTTGAAGCACCTTTGGCACCGATTACAGCCTCGAGTGTTCTTGGGTATGACGCTACAAGCTTGGGACACCTGTATTTGGGGAGTTTCTCCCATTTATTCTTTGCAGACCTTCTCAAACTGTCAGGTTGGATGGGGAGTGTCGCTGCACAGCTATTTTCAGGTCTCTCCAGAGATGTTTGATTGGGTTCAAGTCCGGACTCTGTCTGGGCCACTCAAGGACATTCAGAGACTTCTCCTGAAGCCACTCCTGCGTTGTCTTGGCTGTGTGCTTAGGGTCGTTGTCCTGTTGGAAGGTGTACCTTTACCCCAGTCTGAGGTCCTGAGCGCTCTGGAGCAGGTTTTCATCAAGGATCTCGCTGTACTTTGCTCCATTCATCTTTCCCTTGATCCTGACTAGTCTCCCAGTCCCTGCCGCTGAAAAACATCCCTACAGCATGATGCTGCCACCACCATGCTTCACCGTAGGGATGGTGCCAGGTTTCCTCCAGACGTGACGCTTGGCATTCAGGCCAAAGAGTTCAATCTTGGTTTCATCAGACCAGAGAATCTTGTTTCTCATGGTCTGAGAGTCCTTTAGGTGCCTTTTGGCAAACTCCAAGCGGGCTGTTGTGCCTTTTACTGAGCAGTGGCTTCCATCTGATTGGTGGAGTGCTGCAGAGATGGTTGTCCTTCTGGAAGGTTCTCCCATCTCCACAGAGGAAATATGTAGAGCTCTGTCAGAGTGACCATCGGGTTCTTGGTCACCTCCCTGACCAAGGTCCTTCACCCCGATTGCTCAGTTTGGCCGGGCGGCCAGCTCTAGGAAACCTTTTCCATTTAAAGAATGATGGAGGCCACTGTGTTCTTGGGGACTTTCAATGCTGCAGAAATTGTTTGGTACCCTTCCCCAGATCTGTGCCTCCACACAATCCTGTCTCGGAGCTCTACAGACAATTCCTTCGACCTCATGGCTTGTTTTTTGCTCTGACATGCACTGTCAACTGTGGGACCTTATATAGACCGGTGTGTGCCTTTCCAAATCATGTCCAATCAATTGAATTTACCACAGGTGGACTCCAATCAAGTTGTAAAAACATAATGGATGATCAATGGAAGCAGGATGCACCTGAGCTCAATTTTGAGTCTCATAGCAAAGGGTCTGAATACTTATGTAAATAAGGTATTTCTGTTTTTTACTTTTTATAGATTGGCAAAGATTTCTAACAACCTGTTTTCGCTTTGTCATTATGGGGTATTGTGTGTAGATTGATGAGCATTTTTATTTATTTAATCCATTTTAGAATAAGGCTGTAATGTAACAAAATGTGGAAAAAGTCAAGGGGTCTGAATACTTTAATGTACTGTATATAAACCCATAAAGTTATACATATCCAGTTGTACATGTTTGTTTGCTGATCGTGAGTTTAAAACAGTAGCACCTATCCATCCTCTGAGGCCCCTCCGCTCCTGTCATCTGTTTCCCCCTCAGTATGAGAACGCGCTCCTCCGGGGCTACGTGGAGTGCTGCTCCAACCTGACCTGGTGCACCAACCCCGTAGGCTGTGACCAGATCCTGTGCAGGGACAACATCGGCAGCATGGGCAACTGTTCAAAGTGCTGCTGGTCCTCCTGCTTCAGCTGCAACTTCCCAGAGGTTAGCACTGAGCTGTCATGCACATCTCCTGTCCTCATTAATGTTTTTTTTGTGGTTTATTTGTCTTCTTTTTTTTACTTCAATGGCATTGAATCAGAAATCCATATTTGTATGGTTACCCATCAGACTTGGTGTAGTGTAAATCTATCTAGTACATACAGTATTTTTGTTCATAGAGACACAAGCAAGCACAGAGTATAGATTTATGCTGATTTCTTAACCCCCACTTTCTCCCCAGGCTCACTACCCAGCCAGCTGCAGTCACATGTCCCAGTGGATGGACGATGGTGGCTACTACGAGGGTATGACCATGGAAGCCCAGAGTAAGCACCTTGCCAAACTCATCTCCAAACGCTGCCCTAGCTGCCAGGCCCAGATAGAGAAGAATGAAGGCTGCCTACAGTAAGTATAAAGCCACTGGACCCGTGTCAATCCTCAGCCCTGTTCTCTGTCGATTTCCATCAAACCATTTCAAGGTTTACCAAAGTATGTTGTAGGGATTTATAGGCATCACTGTTACTGCCACTCTAATTCTTTTTCAGTATGACTTGTGCCAAATGTAACCATGGATTTTGCTGGAGGTGTCTCAAGCCATGGAAACCAACCCACAAAGATTACTTCAACTGCTCAGCTATGGTAAGTCCATATGACTTGATTAAATTAAGTTTGTGCTTCATACGATTTTGTACAAATGCAAAGGGTTTCCATGAATTGCAGAGTATTTACACTCCCCTCCATATGTATTTGGACAGTGAAGTGAACATTTTTAATTTGGCTCTGTACTCCACCATTTTGGATTTGATGAAATGTTTCATGAGGCGACTTTACAGAATGTCACCTTTTTATTTGAGGGTATTTTCATACATATGTTTCACCGTTTAGAAATGAAAGCACTATGTATTTGAGGAAGTCAAGTATTTGGACAAATTCGATTACTGTATTAAAGGAGTCAAACGTTTAGTATTTTGTCTTTGCACTCAATGACTACATCAAGCTTGTGACTCTACAAACTCGTTGGATGCATTTGCAGTTTGTTTTGGTTGTGTTTCAGATTATATTTTGCCCAATAGGAACTGAATGGTGAATAATGTATTTTCTCATGTTTCTGAACAATTCTACATTAATGTGGATGCTACCATTATTATGGATAATCATGACTGAACCATGAACAATTATGAGTGAGAAAGTTAGAAGCGCAAAGATCATACCTCCCCTGTTATTGGTAATGGTGAGGTTAGCATGTATTGTTTTAGCCTTTGTAACCTTCTCACTCATTATTATTCATTTTTCATTCATGATCTTTCAGTGTTCAGAAACATCTTATCTACTAACTTGGAAAGAAAATTACTCCATTCACCATTCAGTTCCTATTGGGCAAAACCTTACCCAAAACTCAATGTGCAATCCAGGGTGGGGCCCCAGGACCAAGTTTGGGAAACCCTGCTTTAATACAACACAACAAGTTCTGTTGATTTCCAATGCAGTGATCCACTTTTTTTCTGGCTGCAGGTGAGTAAAGCAGCAAGGCAGGAAAAGAAGTTCCAAGACTACAACGAGAGATGCACTTTCCACAACCAAGCCAAGGACTTTGCCATCAATCTAGAGAGCAAAGTCTCCTCCATCAATGAAGCCCTGCAAATGAAGTCCTTGACGTTTGTTATTGATGCCTGCAAAGTCCTCGCTCAAGCTCACAAGGTAAGAGGAAGTAAACTAATAAGAAAATAACCGACCAATCTGTAGAGAAATGTAAGCAATCACCATGCAATCTGACATGAAAGATTCATGATTAGGGCTGTGGCGGTCATGAAATGTTGTCAGCTGGTTGTCATGCAAAAGTCTGCCAGGCTCACGGTAATTGACCGTTAATTAACATAAACACGTTTAGCATCTGCAGGCCTCTAAGCATACAAGCCGCTGATGCGCGCTTTTGGAACATCAACATTTAAAAAAGCATAATAAGTCAATTTAATATACACCATCACAATATATCCTTTATTTTAGGCAGGTCTAAAGAAACATGATATGAATCAAATGTATTTCAGAAGAACAGAATGAGTGAATGGCCTACTAAATGTTATCTGGCTATGCACCATGCCATAGGCTGTAAGTAGGCTTGTTCATTTAGCAGACAACATATGCTTATAGGTCTCGTGCCATTATTTTATAGTATGTGATTTTATAGTAAGAAGAATATAATTGAACTTAGTTGAATAAAATATAAAGGGTATTTTTCCCATTCCGGTGCGAGTGCGCATTTGATGTAGTTATGTTGAGTGTAAAAGTGATCATTTGAAACCAGTCCTATACGCTAGATTGAGTTATTTTGCAGCTTTAGTTGTACACTGAACAAAAATATAAACGCAACAATTTCAGTCAGTCAATTGAAATAAATTAATTAGGCCCTAATCTATGGATTTCACATGACTGGGAATACAGATATGCACCTATTGGTCACAGATGCCTTATAAAAAAAAAAGGTAGGGGCATGGATCAGAAAACCAGTCAGTATCTGGTGTGACCACCATTTGCCTCATTCAGCACGACACATCTCCTTCGCATAGAGTTGATCAGGCTGTTGATTGTGGCCTGTGGAATGTTGTCCCACTCCTATTCAATGGCTGTGCGAAGTTGCTGGATATTGGCGGGAACTGGCACACGCTGTCGTAAACGTTGATCCAGAGCATCCCAAACATGCTCAATGGGTGACATGTCTGGTGAGTATGCAGGCCATGGAAGAACTGGGACATATTCAGCTTCCAGCAATTGTGTACAGATCCTTGCGACATGGGGCCGTGCATTATCATGCTGAAACATGAGGCGGTGGATGAATGGCATGACATTGGGCCTCAGTATCTCGTCACGGTATCTCTGTGAATTCAAATTGCCATCGATAAAATGCAATTGTGTTTGTTGTCCGTAGCTTATGCCTGCCCATACCATAAACCCACCGGCCACCATTGGGCACTCGTTGATATCAGCAAACCGCGCTGTCTGCCATCTGCCTGGTACAGTTGAAACTGGGATTCATCTGTGAAGAGCACACTTCTCCGGCGTGCTAGTGGCCATCGAAGGTGAGCATTTGCCCACTGAAGTCGGTTACGAAGCCGAACTGCAGTCAGGTCAAGACCCTGGTAAGGACGACGAGCCACAGATGAACTTCCCTGAGACGGTTTCTGAACATTTGTACTGAAATTCTTTGGTTTTGCAAACCCAGTTTCATCAGCTGTTCGGGTGGCTGGTCTCAGACAATCCCGCAGGTGATGAAGCTGGATGTGGAGGTCCAGGGCTGGCATGGTTACACGTGGTCTGCGGTTGTGAGGCCGGTTAGACATACTGCCAAATCCTCAAAAATTTAAAATGACGTTAGAGGTGGATTATGGTAGAGAAATTAACATTAAATTCTCTGGCAACAGCTCTGGTGGACATTCCTGCAGTCAGCATGCCAATTGCACTCTCCCTCAACTTGAGACCTCTGTGGCATTGTGTTGTGACAAAACTGCACATTTTAGAGTGGCCTTTTATTGTCCCCAGCACAAGGTGCACCTGTGTAATGATCATGCTGTTTAATCAGCTTCTTGATATTCCACACCTGTCAGGTGGATGGATTATCTTGGCAAAGGAGAAATGCTCATTAACAGGGATGTAAACACATTTGTGCACAACATTTTAGAGAAATACGCTTTTTGTGTGTATGGAACATTTTCTGGGATCTTTTATTTCAGCTCATGAAACATGGGACCAACACTTTACATGTTGCGTTTATATTTTTGTATAAATTATACACACCTTAGAATGTCTTAGAAATCTTAAACATATGGGCTGCATGGTGCGACTATAGGCTATTGATAATTTGAGAAAGTCGCAAAACAAATTTACGCTCTGCTCCTTGCCTCAGGCTGCACGTGTTGTTCTCAATTTAATCTCATCTTTACTAATATGTAAAATTAGTTTAGATTCAGAATGACCCATTATCAAAGGGGCATGGGGAAGAAAGATGTAATCTGTATGCACTCGAATAGCGAATGGAGTCCGCTTTCCCACCGGTTCGTTGACGACGAACATGTAGTGAGGACCAGCCAACAAGAGCGTATAGGTCACAGTGGTGGGTAGTGTATGGGGCTTTGGAAGACAAAACGGATGGCACTGTGATTGAGGATCATGCAGCATCTTGCTGCACGACAGATGATATTCCCCCCCAAAACTCTATGCCATGGGCTCTCCAACCATGTTCCTGCAGCTTCCCAGTGCTTAATTTGGGAAACCAAGTGAAATCTGTTAATGAACATCGATAGCCTATGTTTTGTTGTGAAAACATGTTACTATTTCATTAAACTGTTGCCAGCCCCTCTCTGCATGCTTGAGAAAGGAATGCACGGTGGTGAGATCATGTAGCTAAAGCCTATTACTAGGCTATTCAAAATCCAATGCAAATTCACTATAATTGTAGGCTAACTCTGTAAGGCGCCCTGCACAATCAATGAACCAACAGCATCTCCTAGGCCTATACGTTCTCTCCCAGACTCATGGATAGGAAGTTTGGAGTGTAGTATAAGGTAAACAGTCCATCCAGTATGCATAATAATACAGTCCACACTCAAAGGCGATTACTAGAATTTGTTTAATTTTTGGAGTATAGGCTAGACCAATTATGAACCAAAAACAACTTAAATCAGTTTTTTAAATGTTTTTCTGCCATGTGTACGCTATGTATCGTATAACGGCACAATCATTATTTTAATTCGGGGGGTTTCGGGCTTGGCCTCATATGTATATGGATAAACTCTAATATGCATATGGTTGTCTTTGAATGAATCATCACCTTTAGAAAGTGCTGCCAATTTCGTTGTTAGGCTTTGAAACAACATCCACAACGACCATGTTTTCCACTGTTTCAACCTGTTGAATTTCTTTCTTCAATTTGATCAATCACAATGAGGTGAGTTTTAAAAGCACAATACTGTTTTGATGATAAGTGTTTGAGGGACAATAGAGCCCTGAGTACCAGGCCATTAAGTGACCTTATGGTCGTTAATTTGTTGGGTACTACCGACGCATGTCCAGAGTGCATAAGAGGAGATTACCATGACTCAACGGTCACATGGCATTTTACTGAGGTCATGACTGCCGGTGTGGCGGTAATACGGTCACCGCAAGAGCCCTATTCATGATGAACCTTGTCAGCATTCAAAAGATGTATCCATATGACTAATATGGATCCCTTGCCTGACTGTGCCATATAGGTGCTGGCCTACTCATGTGTGTACAGCTACTACAACCAGGACACAGAGAAGATGGATGTGATGGAGCAGCAAATGGAAGCCCTGGAGCTTCACACCAACGCCCTACAGATCCTGCTGGGTAAGACCTGCAGGAATGACAGTGCCTTCAGAAAGTATTCACACCCCTTGAACTTTTCCACATTTTGTTGTGTTACAGCCTGAATTTAAAATTGATTAAATTGAGATTTTGTGTCACTGGCCTAAACACAATACCCCATAATGTGAAAGTGGAATTATGTTTTTCGAAATTTTACAAATTAATAAAAAATGAAAAGCTTTAATGTCTTAAGTCAATAAGTATTCAACCCCTTTGTTATGACAAGCCTAAATAAGTTCAGGAGTAAAAATGTTCATAACAAGTCACATAAGTTGCATGGACTCACTCTGTGTGCAATAATATTGTTTAACATGATTACTTCATCTCTGTACCCCACACCATCAATTATTTGTAAGGTCCCTAATTCGAGCAGTGAATTTCAAACACAGACCAGGGAGGTTTTCCAATGGCTCGCCAAGAAGGGCACCTATTGGTGGATGGTTAAAAAAAAAAAGCAGACATTGAATATCCCTTTGAGCATGGTGAAGTTATTAATTACACTTTGGATGGCGTATCAATACACCCAATCACTACAAATATATACAGGCGTCCTTCCTTACTCAGTTGCCGGAGAGGAAGGAAACCGCTCAGGGATTTCACCAGGAGGCCGAATTTGAAAAGTAGGAAGCCTGTACAGAATAAAAATATTCCAAAATATGCATCCTGTTTGCAATAAGGCATTAAAGTAAAACTGCAAAAAATGTGGCAAAGAAATTAACTTTATGACCTGAATACAAAGTGTTATGTTTGGGGCAAACACAACGTCACTGAGTACCACTTCATATTTTCATTTTCAAGCATGGTGGTGGCAAGGGGTATGAATACTTTCTGAAGGCACTGTATATCGGGAAGGAAAAGGATCATTGTAAGATTGTCAAGGCAAATTTCTATTAAGTACAGATTGGCATTTGAAATGATTTCACTATTAGAATAATATGATTTTGTAAAATGTTTACTTCAATGGAGACTTGCCGGTGTGCTGCACTCTGCTTGTTTCAGCAGAAGGGTGGAGGAGGGGATTTCTAATAGGGCTGAAGTCATACCATATTTGTAAAAAAAATAATAATGACAGCTGTGATGGAACAGGAAGTTTCAGTAAAAATTTGAATGCCGACAGAATTTGTTTGGCGGTGGAAACTCCTTTATGCACAAATATTGACATAATAACCATAATATCGAAGTAAACTTGGAGTCACTACGACTCGGGAAACCACACAGTTTATTAGGGTACAGTTGAAATAAGTTGATGAACTTCACAGGGTGGTGAAAGTGCACGTGACCTTGATGCTCCTTTCCAATAAAAATCGAGGGTCTTATTCTGGTGACTTGATGATTGATGCTTAACTGCCGTTTGACAAATACAAATATTCTCGCTCTTATCATAATATCATAATGTAGACTAGCTTACCTGCACTGTACCTGCGAGCGGTTGTTGGCTAGAGCGCACGTGCCAAGACCAGAGACACATTTGCTATTTAACACAACCGTTTTTGTGACATCTATCGGTGGAGTTGAAAATGTGATGGAAACTTTAGATTTTTATTCGGTACATGGAAAAGTACATTTTGTGTGCACTGGTTTTTATCCGCAACAAGTCCATTTGGAAACACCACTGGTGGAAAGAAAATATTTTATGCGGATTCTAGAATATTCGCATGAAAATCTGTCACTAATTGGATGGAAACGTAGCTAGTGGCATGGAGGGAGAGCGAGAAAGTAGCCAAACTGATTCGCACTAGTTAGATAACCTATGACAGCAACAAGTTTGTCCATCATACCATCTGGTAGTGCCTATCTTGACTGCATCAAATCATTGTAAAGAAGCTAGCTACAGAAGCCAGGCTAATCGAATTTTTAGGTGTCCTTGTGTACAACTAGGGCTGACTCCATTTTTTTTGTCCATTGTGGAGGCCGTGGGGATGGCAATGTCCATCACTCTTAAGACGTGCTACTGAAATTGTATATGGTTTATATTACATAAGAACAATATTTTATAACAAATACGCTTTCTCCCGCGTTGGATAGTGGTCGTTGTCCGCGGTTCTGAAACATTAGGGCGCTGTTGAATTGGCGCCTTTTCCTAGACCATGTTGCTATGTGCATAATAGGAAAGTTAACCAGCATATTGGTTTTGAGAACAATGCGGCGGAGGCAGCAGTGGAGTTAGATGAGAAAACAGCCCTTGCCTTAATTGTCTAAAATAAAGTGAGGAGAGGGGGAACCCCAACTTAATTAGGTCTATAATCAATAGCCTAACTGTTAAATCTGCCTGGCAGATCCTGCTTCTGTTGCCTGTTTGAGTGTTTGTTTAATAGCCTGCTGATTCCGTGAACACCAAGCCTCATGCAACCACAACATGTCGGATAAACAATTTCACAAATTCTGCTGTTTTGAATCTTTGCTATGCTGTAATAAAGGCTTTACACTTTTCTTCGTTAGAAGGTATTATTTGTTATTTATTTAGTGTTTACACTGTTCCAAATTTTCTTGATCTCCTTATTGTTATGATCATCATTATAATAATAAGTAATGTCATTATCATTAGTAGGCTTAGTATAGCAGCCTTGTACAGTGCATTTGGAAAGTATTCAGACCCCCTAGACTTTTTCCACTTTGTTACCTTACAGCCTTATTATAAAATTGATTAAATAGTTTTTTTTCCCTCATCAATCTACACACAATACCCCATAATGACAAAGTAAAAACAGGTTTTTAGACATTTTAGCAAATGTATAAAATCAATATCAAGGCTCTCTCTGTATTTTGCTCCGTTAATCTTTCCCTCAATCCTGACTAGTCTCTCAGTCCCTGCCGCTGAAAAACATCCCCACAGCATGATGCTGCCACCTCAATGCTTCACCTTAGGGGTGGTGCCAGGTTTCCTCCAAACGTGTGACGCTTGGCATTCAGGCCAAAGAGTTCAATCTTGGTTTCATCAGACCCGAGAATCTAGTTTCTCATGGTCTGAGAATCCTGTAGGTGCCTTTTGGCAAACTCCAAGCAGGCTGTCGTACCTTTTACTGAGGAGTGGCTTCCGTCTGGCCACTACCATAAAGGCCTGATTTGGTGGAGTGCTGCAGAGATGGTTGTCCTTCTGGAAGGTTCTCCCATCTCCACAGAGGAACTCTGGAGCTCTGTCAGAGTGACCATCGGGTTCTTGGTCTCCTCCCTGACCAAGGCCCTTCTCCCCCAATTGCTCAGTTTGGCCGGGTGGCCTGCTCTAGGAAGAGTCTTCTTCCATTTAAGAATGATGGAGGCCACTGTGTTCTTGGGGACCTTCAATGCTGCAGACATTTTTTGGTACCCTTCCCCAGATTTGTGCCTCGACACAATCCTGTCTCGGAGCTCTACGGACAATTCCTTCGACCTCATGGCTTGGTTTTTGCTCTGACATGCACTGTCAACTGTGGGACCTTATATAGACAGGTGTGTGCCTTTCCAAATCATGTCTAATCAATTGAATTTAACACAGGTGGATTTCAAGTTGTAAAAACATCTCAAGGATGATCAATGGAAACAGGATGCACCTGATCTCAATTTCGAGTCTCATAGCAAAGGGTCTGAATACATATGTAAATAAGGTATTTCTGTTTTCTAAAAACGATTGCAAAAATGTCTAAAAACCTGTTTTTGCTTTGTCAATATGGGGTATTGTGTGTAGATTGATGAGATTTGTTTTTATTGAATCAATTTTAGAATAAGGCTGTAACGTAACAAAATGTAGAAAAGGGGAAAGGGTCTGAATACTTTCCGAAGGCACTGTATAACCACATCGAGCTGTAGGACTAAGAGCGCATCCTGTTTAGTATTAATACCGTAACTTATTTAGGCCTATATTTCAATACTTAAATAGGCTACTGAATCAATAATTCATTCGTTCTTGTCATCACACAGCATTCGGCGAGTCATTCATGATTTGAAATTCAATCAAGCATTTTAGTTTTATAAAATAAAGCGACCCTTGAATAATTAGCGTAAACAATAAATAAGCCCTTCCATTTCGGAAATTGCATTCACGAATGAATGCGACTGTTTAGTCTTTGCTGTAATAAAGGCTTAGCAAAAAAAAGTTACAACCAGACTCTCTGGTACAACCTAATTTATTTTTTTGTAATCTAACAACACCTGTTTGGAACACACAATATATGCACGCAGCGCTTGCTCCTTATCTTATTTTTCTTGATCTCCAGTATTTTCCACAACTACTCAAATTTATTCCAGACATCGGACTTCCCCTTTACCTCCTGAGCAACCAGTAAACATTGCCCCGTTTCGAGTTTGTCACATCCTCTGCATCCAATTTGCTGTTATGGTGTTCGGAGTTTGTTATAACCAATTTAGTTATGTGATTATGATACATTATAGGTCAGGCCTTATTGGTCACGTGCATGTGATGCATACATGTGTCACGTAAAGAGAGCAAGTGTTGAGGGAATAGGGAATGTTTTTTCCTAAACAAATGAGGGATTTCGGTAACAGAACTTTTCAGTCAAATGGCTGTAATTATGTTGCAGCTTCAGCAACACGGACAGCGAGAGATGTTCTGTGGTGGTCGCTGCAGCAGGGAGGAGAGAGAACGGGTGCTAGTCACAGTCACTCTGTGTCATTCTTTTAACACAGCGCAGAAAGTCTGAGCCCTGCCCGGCACAATCAAATAAATGTGTGTCAATTTTTATCAAACAGTGTGCTTAAAGCATCAGACAAGCTCAGTGCATATACAGTGAGGGAAAAAAGTATTTGATCCCCTGCTGATTTTGTACGTTTGCCCACTGACAAAGAAATGATCAGTCTATCATTTTAATGGTAGGTTTATTTGAACAGTGAGAGACAGAATAACAACAAAAAAATCCAGAAAGACGCATGCCAAAAATGTTATAAATTGATTTGCATTTTAATGAAAAAAATAAGTATTTGACCCCCTCTCAATCAGGAAGATCTCTGGCTCCCAGGTGTCTTTTAAACAGGTAACGAGCTGAGATTAGGAGCACACTCCTAATCTCAGCTTGTTACCTGTATAAAAGACACCTGTCCACAGACGCAATCAATCAATCAGATTCCAAACTCTCCACCATGGCCAAGACCAAAGAGCTCTCCAAGGATGTCAGTGACAAGATTGTAGATCTACACAAGGCTGGAATGGGCTACAAGACCATCGCCAAGCAGCTTGGTGAGAAGGTGACAACAGTTGGCGTGATTATTCGCATAATAAATAAATAAATAAATAAAGCACTGTCAATCTCCCTCGGCCTGGGGCTCCATGCAAGATTTCACCTCGTGGAGTTGCAATGATCATGAGAACGGTGAGGAATCAGCCCAGAACTACACGGGAGGATCTTGTTAATGATCTCAAGGCAGCTGGGACCATAGTCACCAAGAAAACAATTGGTAACACACTACGCCGGGAAGGACTGAAATCCTGCAGCGCCCGCAAGGTCCCTCTGCTCAAGAAAGCACATATACAGGGCAGTCTGAAGTTTGCCAATTAACATCTGAATGATTCAGAGGAGAACTGGGTGAAAGTGTTGTGGTCAGATGAGACCAAAATCGAGCTCTTTGGCATCAACTCAACTCGCCGTGTTTGGAGGAGGAGGAATGCTGCCTATGACCCCAAGAACACCATCCCCACCGTCAAACATGGAGGTGGAAGCATTATGCTTTGGGGGTGTTTTTCTGCTAAGGGGACAGGACAACTTCACCGCATCAAAGGGACGATGGACGGGGCCATGTACCGTCAAATCTTGGGTGAGAACCTCCTTCCCTCAGCCAGGGCATTGAAAATGGGTCGTGGATGGGTGTTCCAGCATGACAATGACCCAAAACACACAGCCAAGGCAACAAAGGAGTGGCTCAAGAAGAAGCACATTAAGGTCCTGGAGTGGCCTAGCCAGTCTCCAGACCTTAATCCCATAGAAAATATGTGGAGGGAGCTGAAGGTTGGAGTTGCCAAACGTCAGCCTCGAAACATTAATGACTTGGAGAAGATCTGCAAAGAGGAGTGGAACAAAATCCCTCCTGAGATGTGTGCAAACCTGGTGGCCAACTACAAGAAACATCTGACCTCTGATTGCCAACAAGGGTTTTGCCACCAAGTACTAAGTCATGTTTTGCAGAGGGGTCAAATACTTATTTCCCTCATTTAAAATGCAAATCAATTCATAACATTATTGACATGCGTTTTTCTGTATCTTTTTGTTGTTATTCTGTCTCTCACTGTTCAAATAACCTACCATTTAAAATTATAGACTGATCATGTCTTTGTCAGTGGGCAAACGTACAAAATCAGCAGGGGATCAAATAGTTTTTCCCTCACTGTAGATTAAAACACATTGGATGTGTCTAAATATGGAAAAATACACGTTAAATGTCAACCAATTGATTGGTCTAAAGAACAGACTACTCTTGGTCGACCAAGATTTTTTTTTATATCTACAACAACTCCATTCCTATGAAACAACTGCCTACCTGTTGGTTGATCATTGTAGCCTACTTAATTCTGTAATTTTAATTCCATTTTGCATTGATTAGAAATCTCCCACTTCACTTGCTACACATGGAGCCTCTGACTGTTGCGCCGCTTTGATTGACCGACAATAACACAACAAGCTACACGTGTGAAATGTGTTTAGGCTACCGGTGCATCTTTTTTATGGGGCGCACTCAAAAACTCACTATTTTATTAAAATGTTGCATGCAATAGTCTATCCTTGTAGGCTATGTAACATAGATAATTTTTGACAAAGCCTAAAAATAAAAGGCATTTTTCTCAAATGATTACTCTCCCAAGTAATCGAATACTAACGTCTGTTTGGATATTCGAACATCCCTACTTTGAAGGATGTTTCATACACCATGGATGAGTTCTTATTGTCTGTGTCTTTCCCCTCCAGAGGAGACCCTGTTGCAGTGTACGGATCTAGCGTCCTGCATCCGTCTACTGAAGCCTGAGCACCTCAACACTGGCCTGGAACTCATCCGCCGCATTCAGGAGCGTCTGGTGGCCATTCTACAACACTCGACCCAGGTAGGGACAAGGGAGGGATTTATACACTGAAGAGCACAGCACAAAGTGTGGTGGTAATACTTATTGGGTGCAATCAACGGCAAGTCATGAGGGTTTCCTCCTATCTGGTCTCTCCAAACACAGGACTTTCGAGTGGGATACAACTCCCAAACGGGACAGGAACAGGAATCTGCTCAAGCTTCAAATCTCTCTAAGACCACAGATGCCAACAAAGTGTGAGTACGGGAGATTTGGGAAGTGGATCTCCACATTGGTTCCTGGATCTAGTAGCATATTACTGTGAAAATGTTCTTCCTGATTTGCTGTGCTCACGTTGAGACCAGGTCTTCGCTCTCTGCAGGGCCGGGGGCTCTGAGTCTGGTGACTCTGACAACAACAATGAGGGTGGAGATGAGGCAGAGGAGGATGAATGGTATGACGATGAGTACGTTCCCGAATGGCATGAAGATGACGAGGATGACTTCTTCTCTGATGACGACGAGTCCGAAAACCTAGAGGGGGATTTCAGTCCTTTTGACTAAATATCTGAAAATATTTTTTAAAAGGATCAAACAAATGTCAGTCTCAGTCTGTGCACCATAAAAATATTAGAAACAAACAGTACTTAATAATCAAACAAAAATCCATCAGAGAGTGATGGTAACAGAGAAAAGCCATGGTCTGGTTTGAAGTGAGGCTGGGTGTGATTCTTCATTTTTCCTGTCAGCCTCTTTGTGCTGAGCCTTAACAATTTCAGTCCCATGCCACAACTGCAATTGTTGGATGGGCACACTTACATGTTCCACTTATTATTTATCACATAGGTTTGAATTCCTAGAGCCTTTCATTCTTTTTCACATGACGCTGTTTTGAAGCCGATGAGGGTTCAATGACCATCAGACATAATGAAGGAAATGTATTTCTTTTCTTTTTTTGGGGGGGGTGGGGGGGGATATAATTGACAAAAAGCCCATACTTTGTTTAATACAAATGCTGCTTTTTGACTGAAAATGAATTTTATAATCCAGCGCTAGCAAGGCTGTTGAGTTGGCAGAATGTCGTTCATTACCAAATGGTTTGCCTTGATATGTTTTAATACATGGATATGCCTTCAGTCATAACAATAAAGAACACAATCAGAAAATGTATATTTCCATAGTGAAACTTCAAATACTGTTCAATTATATTTTATGTTCGTTTAGTAGGCTATTAAAAATCAAGACTGCGGTTAATACATAATGTTTAAGAGTGAGACATTTTCATGCATCTGGGTTAAAGGGCTGGAGGTGGAGAAGATTGGGAGGAGAAGGATGTAAGGTATTGGGTGTGCCTGGCCACAGTAGCTTGACGACTTGCACTGAATAATTCCGCTGCATTGTAGTTTGCTACATACTTTAGTCAGACTGCCATCATTGAAGTAGTTTGTGGTGACGAGAGGCGTTGTACAAAAGTAATCAGCAATTGGATCGTCTCTTACCAATCCGTATCAAAGCCAATGACACATTTTCAAACCGCTGCTTTACCCATCGGTTTCTGGACCAACCCATCGGTTTCTGGACCAATCAGACTGCCTTGAATGTGTTTGTTGTCGGTGAAGGGTCAGGGAGGTACTCGGATCAATCAAATGTATTTTATAAATCCTTTTTTACATCAGCAGTTGTCACAAAATGCTTATACAGATACCCATCCTAAAACAACAATGCGCAAGCACAGAGCAACTCATTGCGGAGAAGAAATTAACGTCCGTGGGCGTGGCAGGCAATGAGGGAGTTCTATTAACATTTTTTAAACATTTTTACTCATTTAGCAGACGCTCTTATCCAGAGCGATTTACAGTTAGTGAGTGCATACATTTTCATACTGGCACCCCGTGGGCATCGAACCCACAACCCTGGCGTTGCAAATGCCATGCTCTACCAACTGAGCTACAGAGGGCCTGAGCCGTGGTGCACCAGTCTACGGCCCATGACATGAACGGGCAAAAGCGGTGAGGGAGGAGCGCCCTTCACAAATCGAACAGTAATCTGCACCGCTCTCATGTTAACAAGGCAGCATGGTGCTTCGTCTAAAACCTACATCTCTTTTCCATAAAATATATGTTAGAATTTTCAAACTAGTTTTCATTGGGAAGGCACAGAAAGCATGTTTATCAAAAGCAATCACTTTTGCATGTGAAAACATCCTACTCATTACTCCACGTGCTTCATCTAGCCTAGGCTACGTCATGCTTTTTGGGGGGGAGAACATTTGAAATTTTGTCAATGTTTATCTGTATATGGGTTGAGAGGTATCTGATATCTCAACATACCACTTTGCTGTTGAGAGATCCTTATATTCACACTGTGCATCTTCAAAAATGTTATATTTCTGATCTCATTGAAGTTGTGCAATGTCAGCTGACTAAATAAATGCGCTTTTGCTATCATGTTGGAGTGATTTCATAACTGTATATAGATTATTTCATAACTGCATTACCTGATTTAAATGAGCCATTATTAACGTCATAATTTCACCATAGGCTGCTAGAGAATACTTCTGTGCAGTGAGGGGTGAAATATTTTGTCAGGGGGCTCTCCCCAAAGAATATCTATTATATTGACAAGATAGTTGAGTGACCGCTCTAACAATGGAAATACATGTCCTCAAAGATGGAAGGCAGGTGGGAGGAGGTGAGATCAGGTGGGACCATTCTAGCCAATGAGAGGGAAGGTACCAGTGGCGTAGTACAATTTAATGTTATTTGAGGGAGTGCAACCACAAAAAGACGTCAATTTCCTCAAAGTTAGTACCGACAGATGTAGCCAATTGAATAGCCTATCAATATAGAATATGCATAAAATGCATCCTCCAATTGCAACGTCTGCTTATGCCCACACATATTGTCTAAATAAATGTTTCTATTTACCCTAAAACACCAAATTAGGCATAGGCAACCCAATTTCAAAATAGGCCATAATAACTGTCAATCGTGAATGATAATTATTTGTTTTACTGGTGAAATGTCCAAACTGCTTCTCCATGCCAATCATTTGATTGATCTCAGTTTCATGGGAATATGCGTTTACATTTTCTTGAATTACTATTTCATGAGCGAATTAAAGCAGATGATAAACTATTAGCCTTTCAATCAAAGCATATACTGCTTTGTCACTCCTCTAACTTTACTAAACGAGCACCATTGTGAGAAGTGGTAATCTTCTATTTGTAATAATAATAATAATAATAATAATAATAGTGACTATTGGGTCTCTGCAGCACACACACGTAGCCTATAGTTCATAATTATCGCCACCGCCAGAGAGAAGACTGAAGAAACCACCATCTGCCTCTAGGTTGCTATACACATTTATTTGGTTTGTTATTCTATTGTTTTTCATGGAATTCAAATTCTAAATAATTATATTTAATTCATGTAATTAATTAGAATTTAATTAGAATTTATCCTAATTAATTTTCCAGAAATAGTTTTACCAGCTCCTTGTATTCTCAAATTGAAAAAAGTAAGAGAGCCCCGCTCCTCCCTGTTCCGGCAGCACTACACCCCTGCAGATACACGTGAACAACAGGCACAACTCTAATATTAAAGCTTGACTCAGCGATATGACGTAGATGCAGAAAGTAAAGAGCGTAGTAGGCCAATAAGAGTTTTGAAGCGCGAGACAAAACTTCTCCACTGATTTGGTGCCCTGTCTACCGTGAAGCGAACCCGTCCACATGCACAGATACTGTGTGTGACCTGTGTGAGAGCAAAGTCTGGCATCTTGCTCATCTCAATATCTGCGGTGCTGCTCGTGGCAATGTCTTTTAGCGGAATCTACCTTTAAGTCGTTTTTTCCCCCCAAAGTTGCTGAAATGCCACGTGCATCCACTTTTATCAGCATTGGTAACAACCTAACCAAATTTGACACACTCATTGACCCCCCATAAAAAAATCCTCACTTTCTATGGCAGCCATGTTAGCTCCCCATTAACATTAAATGGGAATATTTAAACAATGCTATGTAACTGAATGTATAGAATTAGAACAATATTCAAAATTCTAAAAGTTGGCCTAACTCTCTAAATAGAGTATATGGTCTGACTACAACCAGTTAGCAAGTTGGAAATTTCAGAGTTTCAACTAGCATGTGAATGCGGCATTATTTTCGTGGCCAGATTATAATTTGATGAGAAAAGTGGAAAAGGTAATCTAACATTCCAAACCTCTAGTGTCACTGAAGCTTGTGGTGAGGCAACAGGTAGGCATATCTCCATGGACAGAGTCTCTGCCTCTGAGGTTGTCTCCTCTTACACTTTCCTTTGAATTAAAAATACAAGCAAGCACTAGTTACTCAAATACTTTATTACTTTTGTACACAGAGGGAAATCCTGTTTCTTTTTTAATTAATTCATTACCTCTGGCATTTATCACGTGACATAATAAAGCTCAATCTACCTCCCTCCCCCTAACACACAAGCTATCAAATACCTGAAATCTTAAGTACAGGACAGACCGCCCTAGCCCCAGCTGAGCTGCAGGGGAACCAGCCTCCTCCTCCTGTCTGTCTTAAATGCCTCTACATTTGGATTAATCTGGGGGAATGTTTCCCCCAGAACCTTCAAGAAGCTGCTCTCCTCCTGACCATAATGCACTTTGATCTGCCTCACAGGATAGTCTAAAGATACTGAGATATGGAAACATTATTTAATCTAATAATAATTATCCTAATATACACAGGGTCCATGATCTTTAATCAGTAAAATAACCTTCAATAAGTATGTCTAATCACAAGATAGAGTCACACCTAGCCTACTTACAAAGCAAGCACTGTGTATGTGTGTGTCCTGTATGGATATTATACGGCAAATGTACCTATCCTGTTCAGCAGCTGGATGGTAGGGTCAGCGATCATGTAAACCCTCATATTTATCTGTCGGCTTCTACCCGTTTTCCGCCTTTGGACTCCAGTATTATTTAGTCTCAGCATAATCGAATCCTCCCATTCTCGTGCACCCCAAGGTGGCTGCTGCTATCGTTAGCTAGCTAGTTCAGTCAAGTCCAATGCAGGTCTGCCAACTTTTGAAGAAAGCTTGGAGTGAGATTTGCTATGTGAATTTCATTGCCCCGTTGCACAACCCCTAGACGGGGGACTGGGGGTCCTCCCCCAGGAAAATGTTACTGTTTTAAAGTTTATTTCCTGCAATTCTACGTATTTAGGATGCTTAGAATATTAAATGAACACTCAAAATACGACTAATTTGTTACTTTATTATTTTTTAGGGAAGATATTTAAAAAATGCTAAAACCTTTTTTTAGGTGCTTTGACACTTTATTCACAGTAATTAAATGAGATAGGGACACAGGCAAAATAGGGCTGTAAGAAAATCCAGCTTGCTCTCCAGAAGGGTTGGCCACCCCTGATCTATGTTTCCCAAGTTCTGGGTGTTTGAAAATGTTCTTGTTATAACAATAATTAATCAAAATCACCCAAGCTTCATGAAAAATCCAATGAATATCAATATTCAGGTGGTTTATGCCTATTAAGGAGATAGATTGGGGGTGAGGCCCTGCAATGGACTAGCGTCCTGTCTAGGGGATGTACTTGTACATCAAGCTGCCTCACGCTACAGAAACAAAAGATAGGCTCCTGCCCTATGAGCCATTCCGGCTCGCATAAACCAAGGCTTGTGCAAGGCTATTTACTTACTACTTATGCCTACTATATAGTTGAAGATCCTTGCCATCATCTTACACTACATAGACAAAATATGATACGTTTATGAGTTGTGAGTCCCCCTACCATCTCTGCCTAGCTTGTGCACAAACTATTTGATTCCTGGAACATTTCATATCCAATGCTTATTTGTATAACTTATTCAAAACTGTCCATGAATGGCTGCAATAATACATAGCCTCTTATCATTCATTTTCAAAGACAAGTAGGCATATCAGATTTCAAATATGT